ATGGGCACTAGCCTGAGACCCAGCTGTTCCACTTCTGATCTAGCTCTCTGCTAACCTGCCAATGTGCCTGGGAAGGCAGGGGCTACCACATGGGTAGCCTGGCCCAGCCCTTGCAACCATCTGGGAAATTAACCAGTAGATGGAAAATTTTTGTCTTTTTTCTTCTCTCTGCAACTCTGCATTTGAAAAAAAAACAAAAATAAATCTTTAACATTTTTTTTAAATTTCAGTAACACTCATGGTACACCTGCATCTCCCACTAACTGCCTGATTCTGTGTTGGAGGTCCCAGTTGATGCCAACACCAAGAGACATATACAGTCGGCATCCATGCCAATGCTGAGACGTATACAGTCGGCATCCACGCCAATGCTGAGATCTACAGTAGTGTCAGTGACAATGCAGAGATGTGAAGCTATCTCGACTTCAAGATGGCAACGTGACTCTTCACCTACAGGCCCCAGGAGACTGTGTTGTCACTACTCAGCTGTTAGAGTATAAAGTTGGACTGGAGTTGATGCGGGCAAGTCACTTACTTTTTTAATTTTTAAAAAGACTGTTCTATTTGAGAAGCAGAGACAGGAAGAAGGGCCAGCTCTACAGGCTGTGGGTGAGGATCCCACATCGGTGGGGTAGTATCCCCTCCGCTCCAGTCCTGATCCAGCTCCTTGCCAGAGGCTGGGGAAGCAGCAGAGGGACCCTGCACCCACGCAGGAGACACGGAGCAGCTCCTGGCTGCAGAGTGGCCCAGCAGCCTGTTGCTGTGGCTATCTGGGGAGTGAACCAGTGGATGGACGATCTCTGTCTCTCCTTCTCTCTCTGTAACTGCCTTTTCAGATAAACATAGAAGGTCTTCCACTTGCTGCTTCACTCCCGGGGTGGTGACAACGGCCAGAACTGAGTTGGTCCAAAGCTGAGAGCCAGGAACTTCTTTCAAATCTCCACAACTTGCGCCATCCTCCATTGCTTTTCTAGGCCACAAGCAGGGAGCTGGATGGGAACTGGTGCAGCCGGGACACAAACTGGCAGCCATATGAGATGTTTGGTGCCTCAGGGTGGAGGATTAGCCTGTTGAGTTACAGCACAAGTCCCAATCTAAAAAAAAAAAAGGAAAGAGGAGAGGCACAGCTCGACCCCAAACACGACGGCACTGTCATCTCACACTTCCGCCGAGCCCCGGCGGGAAGCTGGCCCCCAGTGACCGGAACAGCTGCTGCAGTCACTGAAGGAGGAAGCCCCCGGAGCCCTGCAGGCCGAGGTCAGCTGCCTGAGGCTCGGAGTCGCCCTTCGCTGCCAGCAGGGAGCGCAGCCTCCGCACAAAGTGGGAAGGCAAATCTTTCATAAAAATACACACTTAATGTGTATCCTTGAAAAGCTTAGTGACCGCGGGGAGGAATGCAGGAAAGGACAGAACCTTCCATCACAGTTCACCTCCTACATGCCTACAGCAACCCCATCAGGTGCCAGGGACTCCAGCCGGGTCTCCCACGTGAGCGGCCGTCATGTGCTGCCCCCCCTCCCCCCCCCGCCAGCACAGGAGCAGGGAGCTGCATCAGAAGGGGAGGGGAGGCTCAACGCCAGGCAGTGCAGGACAGGACGAGGGCGCCCAGGAGCTGGCTTCATCAGCTGCACCACATGCCGGCCCCATTTTCCACACACCTCTGAAGGGGCCACATGGGTGTGTAACAGCAGGAAACGAGCAAGACAATGTCTGTACAGGAAAATGATGAGCTTGACTGAGGGGTGATGCCGGAAGAACCCTGAGGAAAATTCTGCCAGAGCAAATGGAGAAGCCTGGGCCCTGGGTCTCCAGGAACAGGGGACAGCAATGCACACGGGGCATGGACAGACAGAAGGAAGCCGGGAGGTGGCAGGGAGTGGCTGCAAGGCAGAATCTCAGCTCCGCAGAGGGGAGATGACAGCCGTGCAGCCTTGTCTCACTTCCCAAGGATCCACGCTGGGGTTTACCACTCCCACCTGCCATGGCCAGACAGTGTGGAGGGTGAGGGTGACCCCCCCCCAGGACTTGGTGGCTCCTGCCCCTGGATGGCTGTTCTGGGGTAGCCAGGCATGCAGGGTGCTTGCGAGAAAGCTGTGTGCCGAGGAATCAAGACTAGCACTCACCTCCAAAAAAAAAAAAAGCCTGCCCAGCTCAGGTGAGCCATTGTGAGGGTGCAAACGTCATGAGACCCTGCCCTAGGTTCCTCCATGGTCTTACTGTTGTGGCTGCTGAGCTTTGGGGTGCTCTGTGATGTGACATGGCAGGTACCTTGTATGAAGACAAGGACCCATGAGAGCAGCACAGATGGGGACTGGAAGCTGGAGGGGAGCAGGACGGTCCCCAGGCTTCCAGCCTGAAGATGAGGAAGGTGGCAGAGAGCCGATGACCGTGGGAGACAACCATCGAAGAAGGGCGCGCTCACTTCTTTTCCTCAATTAGGAGCCCAGGCTTGAGCGTCAGTGACGTTTTGGGGCCTTGAATTAGCCCTCAGCCTGCTGAGCCAGCACCCCATCCCAGCTGCTCATGAGCCTGGGAAAGCCGCAGCAGGTGGCCTAAGTGCTTGGGCCCTGCCCCCACCTGGGAGACCCGGATGCAACTCCTGGCCATGCCTGGCATTTGGGGAGCGCGCATCAGGCTGGAAAGCGTCATTCCTACCCACTGTGACATTCTACTTACACGGGGCAGGAAGGAGTTGGCAGTCCGGTGGATCAAGATTAGCAGGGGGTTAAAAATCCAGTTCTGAAATTCTAAGTGAGTTTTCAAACAAAACAGTGGTGAGAAGAAGTCAAAGAAAAGCTACCGAGAGAGGCAGGCGTGGGGCACAGTGATTCACACACCACTCAGGGTGCCAACCAAACCTCCAACACGGCTCAAGTGTTTGGGTCCCCACCACCTACTCAGCTGGCATCTGATTTCTGGGCTGGCACAGCCCAAGAAGTCAGCCAATGCATAGGGGCCCTCTCTCTCTGCCTTCCAAATAGAATGAAAAAAAAATGTAAAAAATAACTTTCAAAGATAATTTCCTTAAAAAAAAAATCGTTACAGAAGTTGTCAGAATAGAGAATGCCAAAGTGGCAGACAAAGGGTGAGCATGGCAGACACAGCCCTCTGTCGCAACGCCGCGCCTGGCACACCCGCGCGCACAAGGGGAGCGGTCCTGCAGGTGGGCGGCCCCTCCCCAGGCTGCTGCTTCATCACCTCTCCACGATGAGCCTGGTCAGGACGGGCTCCTCGTACTGCGTGGCATCTTTGTTCTGTGTGTTGCGGCACTCCTTTTTGAGGCCCTTGAGCTGCGCCCCTGAGGCAGGGACCCCGCTCGAGGACACTTCCGGCCTGCTGGCGCTGCCATCTGGCTTGGCAGATTCCGGGTAATCCGAGAGGGACGCGGGAGAGACGACGGACTTGTCCCCCTTCCTGTCCGTTCTCTTCTTTTCTTTCACCATTGCCCCGGGAGGCCTCGCGCTCGCGCCACACTCCTCGGGCGAGAGCTGCTGGGTTCCACGCCACGGGCCACTTCAGTCTGAAACAAGCACAGGGAGGCCTCTCAGCACGGGGACTTAAGCTTTCTGATTTGTCGTCAGTCTGTTTTTTGGTTTTTTTAAGGATTTACTTATTTTTATTACAAAGTAAGATATATAGAGAGGAGGAGAGACAGAGAGGAAGATCTCCTGTCCATTGATTCACCCCCCAAGCAGCTGCAATGGCTGGAACTGAGCCAATCCAAAGCCAGGAGCCAGGAGCTTCCACCAGGTCTCCCACGCGGGTGCAGGGTCCCAAGGCCTTGGGCCATCCTCGACTGCTTTCCCAGGCCACAAGCAGGGAGCTGGATGGGAAGTGGGGCTGCCGGGATTAGAACTGGCGCCTATATGGGATCCTGGTGCATGCAAAGTGAGGACCTGAGCCACTAAGCTGCTGTGCAAGGCCCTTATCTTTGGTTTTCTAAAGCTTGAAAAACAGCCCTGAGTACCCCGTATCATAAAAATAGGATACTGTCAGGGTGGTGCATAGGAGTAAGCCTTTGCCCACAGCAATGGCAGCCTGCGTGAGTCCTGGTTTCTGTCCTGGCTGCTCCACTTGGGATCCAGCTCCCTGCCAACACACCTCAGATGGTTAAGCTTGTTTCAGCCTGGCCGATGCAGCCGAGGCAGCCATGTGGGGGAGCACTCTGCACCTCCCGCGCTCTGTAACCACCTCTGAAACAAATACACCTTCTAACTTCCACTGAAAGCCGATACCCTTCTGCCACCTAAACAACAATTTAACCTTGACTTGTGGGGTCCTTAAACACAGTACTCAGAGCACAAGGGGCTGGTCCCCAGCCTACTCACTCCCAGGAACAGCGCCAGTGCCTCTTGGAGAGCAAGCCAGGACCTGCCAGGAGTGACCTGGCCATGGCCATGGACTGGGGATGGGCTTCAAAAGCCCCCACCTTCCAGGCCTGCACCACCAGCCTGGCCGAGGCCATCCTCAGGCACCCACCCCGAACCCTCCCTCGGGCACCCCCACCCACGAGCTGACCTACACAGAAAGCGGCTCCCATTCCTTACCCGGAGGTGTTGGCTTTTCCCGTTCTCGCAGGATCAGGGGAACATCCTAGTTGCACGTGCCTTCAAATGGCCTGAATTTTCTCACCACACCAGCACCCCTGTCCTCACACACCTGCTCAGGCCCCTTGGGAGAGGAAGGAGTCCCACGGGACCTGGGCCAGGGCATTCAACTCACTGGGCTCAGCGTCCCTCCAGCCCCAGCTCCGTCTCCAGGCAACCGCTCTGCCCTGTGCACTGGCATTCTTAAAGGGGCAGCAGCACCTTCACCTCCTGCCAGATCCTGGTGGGCCCTGAGGGCTAGAGGGCCAGGGCTGGGCTCTGGAGCCAGACTGCCGGCTTTCTCAGCTCCAGATGCTGCAGCGGGGCCCCTCCCCTCGACTCCCTGCCCCACAGAAAGGGGTGAATCCAGGCATCTGTTCTCCATAGCTGCCGCACACAAACCACCACAGACCCAGTGGAGAGAAGCGACCTGTTTATTACCACGCAGTTCTGTGAATCAGTCTAACAGGGCGGTCCCCCTCCGAGGCGCCAAGGAGTCTGTTCCCTGGCTCTTCCTGGCTTCAGCCACGCTGTGGCCAGCAGTGCCTTCCTCCAGCTCGAGTTCTAGGTCCCCAACGTGTCTGCAGAGACTCCTCTACCGTGCAAGCAGATAGGGTCACAGCTCCTGGGGATGTGGACACAGCTCACTCCACGAGGGCCAGCTCCCACAGAAGTCCCAGCGAGGCTCAGTAAACCACCCTCCCCCCCAACACCAGCAGAGGGACTGACAGTGGACGACTCGGGGCACCCGAGGAGTGCCACCCAGGAAATGGAGACCTACTCTCCCAGGAGCAGGAGGCCTGCAGCTGGAGCAGCGAGGGCAGAGCTGGACCACACCCTCGGGTCTGTGGGGCGAGCCACTGGGACCCACAGGTGCCGCACACAGCTCAGATGGAAGGAGATTCCAGAAAAGCTTGCTCTGAGCTTCACACCCCAAGGAAAACCAAGCCCCCGCATGAGGGTCCGCGAAGAGCACAGTCGCGGCTTGTCCCCACCCCAGGGAACACTGAGAGCGCGAGGGCCTGGCTCCCTGGCTTCTCCTGGGCCCAGCAATCCCTGGATCACTTGTTAAAACCAGACGAGACGCAGAGTTGAGAACCACTCACTGCCAAAGCCCACAATCTCACATTCATGGAATGAAGCCAGTAAGTGCTCTTCCTGCTTATGTAAAACACGCTCTTGTCTGTACACCACACACACACATGAAAGCATATATACACACACGTGGACACAAGCCCAAACAACGGGATATGCACGTGTGCACATGTGCAGACACACACGCACAGGCACCGTGGATTCCACGTGACCAAGGCCCAGTGCTGGGAGAAGTCTCTCGAGCCACTTTGAGGTGGCAGAGGGACGTCGAGGCGCAGGTTAGAGTTCAGACAGCACAAAGGCCAGCGGGAGCCTGCCTGCGCCGACGGCAGAGTCCCCGCGTTGGGACAAGACGCAGGGGTCACTGCTGAGAAAGGACGGCCAGGTTGGCGACATGCCGCAGCGTGGGCCTTCCGTGGGGACAGTTCCAGGGGTGCTCCATCTCGCCCATGCGGGTGACCAGCTGCTTCATCTCGCTGGTACTCAGCGCAGTGCCAATCATCACCTGGGCACAAGACACAACGGGCCAGGTGACACAGTCTGTAGCTGGAAACGCAGCTGTCGGAAGCGCTCGCCCAGGACGAGGCTGGGCCAGGTTCCCACTCACCGGAGACCCCTGGGCCAGCCCCGCCTCGGGAGCAGAGAGCCCCTTAACCCTTCCAGGCATGCCGGACCCAGCACCACCTCTACAGCAAACACTGGTCAGACCTGACCCTGACCCTACCCCTCCTGGCCACTGCACCAGCCCTGCTCTCCCCCCGTGGCCCCATCCTGTCCCCCGGTCAACTGCAGTAGCCCTGCACACACTGCCCCGTGAGCCGTCCTCCGCAGTCTGATGGATGTATTTAACGTTCACTGATCCATCTGAAAGGCAGGATGACCCAGAGAGAACTGCCACATCTTTTACCTGCTGCTTCATTCATTGCCCAAAGGGTCACAGAGCCGAGTCACGGCCAGGTCAGGAGGCGGTCACTGAGCCGCTGTGCCTGCTGCCCGGGACACCGTCCCCGGATCTTCACGTGAGTCACCCACCTTCCTCTCAGGTTTTAGCTCAAATGCCCCTGCCCACTGTCTGGGAGCAGCGCCTCACCTCCCCCTCCCCGGTGAGGCTCCCACAGACAGGAGCAGATGTCACAGCAGGCAGAGACACTGGAAGCTGAGAGGGACAGGACAGGGGATCAACTTGACCCTGACCTCTCCCCCAGCGGCACCAGTGGCACCGACGTGCAGCCACAGCCAGGGGATGGGTCCCAGGGCAGGGCTCCGGCTCGCTACAGCCGGCAGACAGAAGGGAGCCTGGCTGGAGAATGTTGGAGGTGGAAAGCCCTCCTCTCACTCAACTCCCCTCCAGCACCTTCAGCCCAGGACGCGTAAGTCACACTTCCACCTTCTTCTTCAATTTATACTGATTTGTTTGTGAGGCACAGAGAGATCAGGAGACAAGGAAGGCGAAGGGGGGTGGTGGGGAGTCTGAACCAGGCCAAATCTGGTTGCCGCAGCACAACGCTGGTCTCCAAGCTAGGAGGCGGAAACCTGACCAGCTGAGCCCTCGCTGCTGCCCCAGGGGTCTGCAACGGCAGGAAGCTGGCTCAGAACCCAGAACTCAGCAACAGCCCTTCCAGCACTCTGGTGTGGCACCTCACGGCAGCTGAGATACCAGGCCTTGGTGTGACTGGGTTCCCAGCTCATGGGGCCGCTGGCTGCTGCTACACGAGGTCCGGGCCAGAGCTGTCCCCTGACCAGCCGCTGTCCCTTAACCCGGCCCCTGGCCTGCCTGACCCTGAGTCTCCCTCCAGTCCCTGCTACTTCTAACTTCTGACCCTGGGGAGCCTGGGGCTCCATGCTTTCCTCACACTGTGCCCTGTCTGGACACTCAGGGCAGCCTCCGGCTCCACTGGCACACTCCAAGCCCTGGCACTTGCTGCCACTGCTTCTGCAGTGACACTTTTGCCCAGGGCGGGGAGGGCAAGGCTGTCTCGTTTCCAGCAAGCAGCTCACAGGCCACCATGCCCACAGCGGCTCACTGCCCTCGCTTGCACCAGCTGCCACTGCTGGTCCTTTCCTGAAACAGGGCACACCCCTCTTTCCTGTTTCTTTCTCTTTCTCTCTGCCACCGACCAGCTGCAGGGCCTCTGTGACCCAGGACAGGACTTGCCACACCTAGGGGCCTCATCGATATAAGTCCTGGCCTTTCTGATTGCTTAGAGAGACTTTGTGTGGACAAGAAGTGGACCCCAACCTCTGCCACCAGCCAGCCACCTCCCAGCAAGAAGCTGGGGAGCAGCCGCGTGGGACAGCCCGAGGGCCCCAAGGGACTGCCGGGTGCTGGCGCTGTCACCACCCGTCACGTTCAGGGACTGGCGAGGTGCCACAGCTGTGCCAGGCATAGCAAGAGCAAATGAACAGAGGCCAAGCAGGAAGCAGAGTAGGGGCGAAGGGTCAGGGCGCTGCTGAGTGAGCTAGGGAGCAGCTCGGCCCACGTCCTGCCCGGGCTACTCACAGACTTGCGGCAGGCTCTGGAGGCAAACATCTGGCGGACGCGCGACGGCCGACACATGACCCCGGGGCTGTCGCCCAGCATGAAGAGCAGCTCGTCTATGTCCTGCGGCCCGAAGGTCCAGTTCTTACTGGTCGGCAGAGACACCAGCTTAGCCCTTTGGGTGACCGGAGCTGAAAGAACCAGACATCCGTGGGGCTGGGGGATGTGGAGCCGGCACAGCATGCCGGCGTCACCCAGCCAACGTGGCCCCAGCCGCCGCGGCCGCTCTGCGCAGGCCCGACCACGCCAGGCTGTGCAGTGACTCACCGCCTTCATCGATCACGAACTCAAAGCCGTTCTTGCGGAAGATGTCCAGGTTCTCAAGGAGAATGGCCTCGTTGACAGCGGTCAGGTGCAGAGGCTGCGGCCTGGGAGACAGACAGCAACGTCCAAGGGCAGGAACAAGACGGACACAGCCGTGCCTATTACTGCTCCCAGAAGCCACTCGAAGGATGCCATCCAGCGGCATGCCTTGCCGTTATTCGGGCATCACAACTGCCCGGCAGTTCCTCCTGCTGCATGCCCTCCTTTTTACAGCTTAGGGGACTGCAAGAGCCACCTGCTCTCTCCTCACTCCGTCACCCCACCGCAATGGCCTGGTTGGGCTTTCCGGTTTGAATTCTACCTTCTAAGGACAACGACTTCAGGGTGGGCACTGGGTCCACTGGGTAAGCTCCACTGGGTCGCCCACCTCCCAGACAGGCCTGCCTGGCCTTGAGAATGAACTTCACCCTGAGTCTAGATGCCTGCTGACGTGCACCCTGGAAGGCAGCAAGGGGTGACTCAAGCAGTGGGTCCCTGCCACCCACACAGGAGACCCACACTGAGCTCCTGGCTCCTGGCTCCTGGCATCGGCCCGGCCCAGCCCAGCAGTTGCAAGCTTGTAGGGAGTGAGCCAGAGAATGGAGGATCTTTTTCTTTTCTGCCTTCTAAAACAAATAAATAAAAACACCTTTTAAAAAGCCAATTGAGAGTCCAGTGAGAGGGCTCAATGGCTAAGTTCTCACCTTACAACTGCTAGGATCCCATATGGGCACCGGTTCTAATCCCAGCAGCCCCACTTCCCATCCAGCTCCCTGCTTGTGGCCTGGGAAAGCAGTCGAGGACGGTCCAAAGCCTTGGGACCCTGCACCCGCGTGGGAGGCCCGGCTCAACTCAGCTCCAGCCATTGTGACAATTTGGGGAGTGAATCATTGGATGGAAGATTTTTCTGTCTCTCCTCTGTAAATCTGATATGCCTTTTCAGTATAAATAAAATCCTAAAAAATTTTTAAAACTAACTATTTAAGGGCCAGTGTTGTAGCACAGAGAGTTAAGGCACTGGCTGCAGCACTGGCACCCCTTATGAGCACTGGTTCAAGGCCAAGGTGCTCCACTTCCAATCCAGTTCTCTGCTGATGCACTTGGGAAAGCACAAGATGGCCCAAGTGCCTGGGCTTCTCTCTCTGTGCAAGACTTGGCTCCTGGCTCTGGCCTGCTCCAGCACTGGCTAGTACAGACATCTGGGGAGTGAATCAGCAGATGGAAGAAGATCTCTCTCTCTGGGCAACTCTTTTAAATCAATCAATCAATCTTACCCTGCTCCTGCCCTCCCCCCTCAAAAAAATGTAACAAAAATGCAACTTCCCCTCCTTTCTCAAGACAAACAGAATCTGAACAATAGGACACCCAGAGGGCAAGCTCCAACCCCCTCCTCCCTCTGCCTGCACTGCTGCCTCACCACTCTCCTCCTGGAGGGACCACGAGCTCCAAAGCAAACACACCATGCAGACACAGGCTCTGCCCTGGCCCTCCTGGGACTAACACAGCAGTGGGAGCAGATGGTCAACGCATGAACTCTAACTCCAGGCAAGGAAGAAAAACCCCTGCTATTGGGGCAGGGCCTGCGTCTGGGGTCACACAGCCCCTCTAAGGAAGGGAGCCCTGCGCTGCCTCTGGGGGCTGCGGAGAACCAGGGGTGAAGGCGGGTGGGGAAGGGCATGTAGGACAAGCGCTGGGCAGAGATGGCTCTCTGTGCCCGGGCCCGCATACTGACAGACTCCACTACGAACGGAGTAAGCAGGCTGGCCATGGTGGTCAGGCAGAGGGAGCAAGAAGGTTAGGAAACAAGGGCCCTGCCAGGCAGGAACTGTGCGTTCCACCCTGAGGCCCTCAAGTGCCTGTCTCCCTGGGACCCACACTGGCCTGTGACAGTCTGGGTCAATTGGTAATGCCACCCACGACCTCTCACGCACAAAATGGCTAAGAAACAAATGACGAGCTCAGATAAACACCCTCATCCAGTGCACAAACTCACTTATCGATGTCTTCGCTAATGCTGAAAATACACACAACTTCAAAAGAACAAGAGAACAGACAGAACTGACCCCAGCTGGCAGAACTTTCCTGATCTGAGTTTATTCCTCTACTTGGCTACACTTTTGGATAGCTGTAAAGTGCATCCCACCACCCGGGACACGGTGGTCAGTGAGAAGGGTCATGCTGACCAGGCAGAGCTGGGTACCCAATCACTCAATACTCGGAAGGCTTGGCAAGGGGAAGCCAACCGATACACAGGAGATGCTTCCACAAGGGAGCAGGCACTTGGTAAGGCCAGCGAGGACCACAATCATGCAAAAACCTACTGCGTGCATGCATATGGCCCCAGCTGACACGGACGGACAGGCATATGCGCGCACACACACGAGCCAGCAGGCTTCGCTAAGCGCGGGAGCGACACGGGCAGCCGACACACGCACGGACCAACTCACGCTATGAGCCGCTGGCCCTGGAGCACCGTGTGCTGCTGTAGCATCTCGAAGTTGTACTTCTCGTCCGTGGCGTGCTGGTCCACTATGAAGAGGTCCTCCTTCAGTCTGGTGATGATGAACCCTAAGTTGAACTGACCGATGATTTCCATCTCCGCAAACATCGTTTTACTGCAGGCAGACAACATTAATTGGAGGAGCTCAGAAAAGATGATTTTTCAGGGCGAGCACGACTGTTCAATAGGCTAACCCTCCACCTTCAAGTGCTGGGATCTCCTATGGATGCCGCTTTGTGTCCCAGTGGCTCCGCTTCCCTTCCAGCTCCCTGCCTGTGGCCTGGGAAAGCAGTGGAGGACGGCCCAAAGCCTTGGGACCCTGCACCCACGTGGGAGACCTGGAACAAGCTCCTGGCTCCAGATCACCTCAGCTTTGGTTATTACGGTCATTTGGGGAATAAGCCAGCAGATGAAACATCTTTCTCTCTCTCTTGTTTTGCAAATTTGCCTTTCCAATAAAAATTTAAAAAAAATTTTTTTAATAAAAGATTTTCAACAGAGTGTGGGTTGGGCCAGGTTTGGTTGCAACAAAAACCAGTGCACATTACAGAATGCCAAGGTGAGGTGACCTGTGCCAGATGTGGCCACAGCACCCAAACAGCACAGGTGAGAACCAGGAAGGGAGAGGGCAAAGCCGGCAGGGGGAATGTGGGCTCCCCTGCTGGACAACCACTCCCACTGGAGAGCGTGGGTTGGGATGGGGGCAGACCAGATCAGGCAGGGCTACAACACCTGTGGGCCTCATGTAAGCCAGATTAGAGAAAAGCCAGCTTGGGCTGACTGTTTCGACTGGTGCAAACAAAAATCAGAGTGGGTGAGGGTTGGTTGGGCTTAGCCGCAGCATCAGCTGGCAGGGGCTGGTCCTGGAGGCTAACTCTGTCAAGCTGAATCCCAGCACCACCTGGAGAGTGCAGGATCCCGGAGCGGGAGAGGCCCAGAAGGGAAACAGTGGGCTCCTCCCTCTCGGGTTACCATTCCCACTGGAGAGCATGAAAATCAGCACAGGGCAGGGTGGCTAGACAGAGAGGCTCCCAACAGCATGTGTGTGGGCTGGAGAGTGGAGCTGGTTAGGTGGAACTAGGCTTCAATGCCCACTGACATGAATGAGAGCTGAATGGGATGTGGGTCAGACTGGACTAGTCTGCTGCACATACAGGCAAGCACGGGAACCAGGGCAGGGGGAGGGCCTGGTGGGGGTTATTGTGGGTCGCTCTGACTAGGCTGCAGCTCCCACTGGTTTATGTGAGGGCTGAGTGTGTGCTGGGCAGAATCAGGCTGGACTGCAGCACCCATTGGTTCCAGTGGAAGACAGGGCTGGAAGCAGAACCGACCCAGCAATTGCAACCACCAGCTGATCAGGGCCATGGACTGTGCTGGGCCCTGTACTTGCTAGTACACACAAGAATCTGGTCTGGGAACACCTTAGACAAAGTTTCTTTGGGGATCTTCCCAATCAAACTGCCGGACTCAGAACCCTAACCAAGAAAAGACAGAAGACAGAACAAGTCAATCAACTACCCCAGCTATAAGTTGGCAGTGAAATACTGGGCGAACCGAGACTCTAAGGTGGACTACGTCAATCAGTGGATTCTACAGTGACCTCATCGTGCTTGGAGTGGTGAGATTGGCTGTTGAACTATCAAAACCACTTGAGCAAGACCCTCGCAGCATGCCCCACTTCAGGGACCTGGGATGGGTGGGAGACTGGGTGGGGCTTCTCCCTTTATCTCCCCCTTTTCCCCAGATACATGACAAAAACAATGTGGAAATAATAGTTTTACTCACTTTCCTGTAGCCCTTGAACCTTTTTGCCCTTATTTACTAAATGAAGGATGTCAAAAATAGAGAAAAAAAAAAAAAACAACAACTGTGACCCCTAAGGGATCAGGGAGGGCGGCCCAGAGGACCTCTTGCAAGAGGCCCCACCTGCTGATGTGCATAGCAGGAGTGGCCGCTGCCTGCAGGACAGAGCGAAGCTGCCAGGGTGAGCACCGCAGAGGTTGGCTGGCCTCTGCTGGGCCCTGCTGGGCCCTGCTGGCCTCAGCTGGCCTCTGCTGGGCCCTGCTGGCCTCGGCTGGCCTCTGCTGGGCCCTGCTGGGCCCTGCTGGGCCCTGCTGGCCTCTGCTGGGCCCTGCTGGCCTCGGCTGGCCTCTGCTGGGCCCTGCTGGCCTCGGCTGGCATCTGCTGGGCCCTGCTGGCCTCGGCTGGCCTCTGCTGGGCCCTGCTGGGCCCTGCTGGCCTCTGCTGGGCCCTGCTGGCCTCGGCTGGCATCTGCTGGGCCCTGCTGGCCTCGGCTGGCATCTGCTGGGCCCTGCTGGCCTCTGCTGGCATCTGCTGGGCCCTGTTGGCCTCGGCTGGCCTCTGCTGGGCCCTGCTCTGCGGGAGGACAGGGGTAGTGGGCGTCCAGAAGCAGAAAGCTTGGCTTTACTGTGTGCCTCTGGCGCCCTCCACTGTCAGAGCCTAACAGTGCACCAGGGTCCAGAAGCAGGTGGGAACACACTGGAGCTGGAGCCCCTAAGCTGGCACTGGCAGATTCCACCTCTCCCGGGAGCTGTGTGAGCTTGACCCAGCGGCCCACGGGGGTCACTGTGGACAGAGCCTGTGTCCTTGGCAGGGCCAGCTCCTGCCACACTCCACAACACATGGCTTTACAAAGAGGATGAGCAAAGCACAGCCCGCTCTCAGGAACAAGGCTGCTTCACCTACCGCCCTGTGTCCATCTCAGTCTTTCTCATGAGATGCAGTTCTCAGGAGGAGTGAATAAACCTCCCATTCATCAGCACAGCACAGGCCACGCGGCCGCTGTGCCCGGGAGCCCCAGGCCCATGCCAGGGGACTGGAGTTTCACAGCCAGACCCAGCAGGGGCGTGTCAGAAATACAGAGTCCTGGGCCCCAGGTCCTCGGGAACGAGCTCCCCTGCAGGGCGGCCAGGCGTGCTGCTGTTCCCATGGGCTCCTTAAGTGATTCTCACGTGTACCAAATTCACAATGCGCGACAGGAGAGAAAGGCACTGATGAAAACCACTGTTCTTAAAAATGACAGTTAGGGGACTCGGCGCTGTGGCCTAGTAGCTAAAGTCCTTGCCTTATATGTGCCAGGATCCTATATGTGCGCCTGTTCTAATCCCGGCAGCTCCACTTCCCATCCAGCTCCCTGCTTGTGGCCTGGGAAAGCAGTCGAGGATGGCCCAAAGCCTTGGGATCCTGCACCCGTGTGGGAGACCTGGAAGAGCTCCTGGCTCCTGGCTTCGGATAGGCACAGCCCCTGCCGTTGTGGTCACTTGGGGAGTGAACCATTAAATGGAAGATATTCCTCTCTGTCTCTCCTCCTTGCTATATATTATATATATTTGCCTTTACAATAAAAATAAATAAATCTTAAAAAAAAAATGACAGGGCAGGAACTATGATTGAGGGGTGAAGGCGGCCACGGGGGACACCCCACCCGTGTCAGCTTCTCTGCTCCAAGTCCAGCTCCCTACTAACACACCTGGGAAAGCAGAGACGACGGGCCACGTGCTCGGCCTGCATGCAGTTCCAGGCTCCTGGCTGCAGCCTGCTCCAGTCTCAGTCACTGCGGCCATTTGGAGAGTGAACCAGACAAAGAAAACAAATCCCTTACTGTCTTGTAAGCAAATTAAAATAAATATATACATTTTAATTTAAATTTTTAAATTACTTAATTTTCATTTGATGAGAGCCAAAAAAGAAAAAAGTCCCAAGGACAGAAACACGAGACATGGGATGTGCCGCAGGTCTCTCCCCAGCAATCACACAGGTCCGACTGCGCCCCGTGAGCGTGGGTGCGCGTGCGCACAGGCACAGCCACAGGCACAGAACGAGGTGCCAGGCTCTGCACGTTGGCTCCACACAGCAGTTCCTGACATTTTTTAAAAAGTTCTCTATTTATTTGAAAAGCAGAATCACAAAAGGAAAGGTCTTCCTGCCCTGGCTCCATCCCTGGAGCTCCGCGTCTCCCACGTGGGCACAGGGACTTGAACCTACCTGCTTTTCCAGGTGCAATAGCAGGGCATCTGATGGAAAGTGGAGCAGCCGGGACTCAAACCGGTATCCATATGGATGCTTAACCCAATATGCCACACCGCCACCCCGAAACTCTTTTTAATGTAAGCTAGACACTGTGAGTGCCCTGGCACTCACCCAGCGCTCACTGAGGAAGAAGGCCTACCCTGACTCAAGGAAAACCTGTGTGGCCCAGACAGCAAGTGCTATGCACATTCAGGGTGACCAAGCTGCAAGGGACAGGACAGACCACAGCTGAACAGCTGATGAGACAGACACACGGACGGGAAGTCTTGCAACATAGCCAAGACAAGCCAACATTGTAAAAAGCAATAGTACGGGCCCTGTATGGTAGCCTACTGTCTAAATCTTCCCCCTTCAAGTGCTGGAACCCCATATGGGCGCCAGTTCTAATCCCGGCCACTCAACTTCCCTCCACCTCTGTTTGTGGCCTGGGAAAGCAGTAGAGGATGGCCCAAAGCCTGCACTCACATGGTGACCTGGAAGTAGCTCCTGACTCCTGGCTTTGGACCGGCTCAGCTCTAGCTGTTGCAGCCTCTTGGGGAGCGAACCAGCAGATGGAAGATCTTTCTATATCTCCTTCTCTCTGTATATCTGCCTTCCAATAAAAAAAAATCATAAATCTTTAAAAAAAAAAAAGCTACGTTACTGAGAATAAAGCGGCAGAAGTGGACAGCATCATGGCACAGTGGGTTAAGCAGCTGCTGGCGACACTAGCAGCCAGTGCAGGCGCAAGCTGTTCCACTTTTTGAGCACTGGGGGTCCTTCCACTCATGCTGGAGACCTGGATGGAGCTCCTGGCTCCTGACTTTGGCCTGGCCCAGCCCTAGCTACTGCAGCCATTTGGGGAGTGAACCAGTGGATTGAAGATCTATAATTCTACTTTTCAAATAAGTAAATCTTAAAAGAACAAGCAGAGAGGGGCAGGGAGAGTGTTCTGCCTTCCTTACAGTGACACTCGTTCTCATTTACCCACAGGTGTGATGACGTGCTTGCTGCTGTAACTTACACTCGCAGACAGCAGACAGCTATGTGCAGAGGGAGATGTCCCCTGGCACTGAGAAGCTTCCTCGAGGATGTCCCAGGGCCAGGAAGGAGGACCCCCAGCAGGCATGCTGAGAAAACGCTTTCAGCCGGCAGCAGAACAGGACACAAGCCAACATGGGGCTGGCACCTACGATGCCCACTAGATGCCTGGATCCCGTGGCAGGGCTGCCCTGGCCTGCCTCCCGCCTCTGACTTACCACTCCAGACTGCTGCCCAGGCAGACCAGGGCAGGCAGCAGGGATGGCTGAAGCAATGCAGGCCCTGCCACCCATGTGGGAGCCTAGGGTGCCCCAGGCCCTCGGGGCATCTGGACAGTGAACCAGCAGTTGGGGGTTCTCTGTGTCTGCTCCACAAGTTAATAAAGAGAAAGGGGGGAAGACACCAAGAGAATGCACATGACGGACGAGAGAAGCACGTGTGAAGAGAAACAGCACTTCCGGGGGGCGAGGTAAAGCTGACCTCTGAGCTGCCCCAGCATCAGGGCGTGGAGGCGGCAGGGCCCCCCGGAGCGCACCAAAGCCACGGCCAAGGAAGCCCGTGGACCCGCAGCACAGCCAGGCAGGCGGAGACAGGCTGTGCTCTGCCACGGGTCCCAGGCGTGGCCGGCAGCAGCCTACCTGATCTCCTTCCTCAGCTCCTCCTCGGCTGCCTGGTTCTCCCCGGGGCAGATCCTGGCGCGGAACCTCCGGTAGCCGGCTTCGCCTCGACTCGACGGTTCCTGCTGCAGCAAGCGCCTCACCCGCTCAGCCAAGGAGCTCATGGAGAAGTCCAGGGGGACGACACGTTTCCGGATGCTCACAGCCACGTCAGGCTGAGCCACCGGTCCATCCCGAGTGCCCCCGCACAAGGAAGCACCGTCCAGCTTCCCACGCTTGGCGCTTGGGGACGAGAGGCCAGCAGGTGCAGATGGGACTCGGAGGCGTTTTCGTTGTTCGTGGCACTTCTCGTGAGACTCTGAGGCCTCTGTGGGCTGTGACACAGTTTCCTGGGACAGTCGGTCTTCCAGGGACCCTGCTGCACAGTCCGGGCTGCTGAGCCTGCTCTCAGAGTCAGCTGGGGTGCTGCTAGGCCCCAAGGCCTCCTCCCTGCCTGCCTCACCCACAGGGCGACAGGCACTCTTGCTGGGACTCACAGCCTCCACCCGAGGGTCCTGCTCGCCTCTGAGAGTGACAGAGCCAGGGAGAGGGCTGGGGCCTGAGGCCTTGCATGACACCACTGCCCTGCCGCGCACTGGGGAGGCCCGCCCAGGCGCAGGAGGCTCTGGGCTCTGAGACACCGAACGGAGCGAGAAGGCCTCTCTCAGCCTGGAGACAGACACTGCCCTCCTCTGCTCCCCGCCCGGAGTGCTGGCCGAGGGGCAGCTGGCCTGCTTCTCTGGGCCAGGTCTCTCCATGTCCACCGTGTGCGCTTTTATGAAGTTGCCTAAAGAGACAGGAAGAGAGAAGGGCTTTAGAGGCGGCAGGGGACGCAATGGGAAGCTATTTCCACGCCAACCGCTGCTTCAGGAAAGAGGGACACTGTGCGCCTTGCTCGTGGGGAGACAAAAGGAGCTCAGCACGTCAGAAGTGGGCATCGCTACAGACGTCCACCGGCTTTGTGGCCATCGCCCTAACAGGACACCGCAGGCGGCAGGCACTAGGGAGGCAGTGACCTTGGGCAGAACAGCGGAGACCACAGCAATGACCTGGCAAAACCTCTAAAACCCAACTTTTCCACAATTCTGGTAGTTACATCAACCAGAGAATGTTTATTCATGAGGACAGCCAGTCTCGGCTGTGCCTTCCCAGGCGTGCGGCCCCCTGAAGACCAACCAGTCATGATGGCTGTCACACAGCAGCCACCTTCGGGAGGACGAGGTGGGCTGGGCACTGTCCCCACCTCTCTCCAGGGCAGGACGGGCACGAGGCCGGACAGCCCGGGCAGGTCCTGACGCGCAGTCCCCTGGGTACAGTCGGCACCGCTGCCAGCTGGGCAGACAGCAGCCCACCACGCATCGACAAGGAAAGGCTCGGGAAGCACAGGGCCTGAGGACGGTGAAAAATCCTAAGATTCAAGAGGCCCAAGTTCTCTACAACAAGAGGAAACTTGCCAAAAACAAACACACACAAGAAAGTGTGGCTCCTCCATCAGAGAAATTGTCAACACGCTCAGATGGGGCCAGAAGAAGGAATTCGCTGGATAGAAGATTTTCAAACTGGTTTTTTAAGATACGTTCAGATACGAAACTACATCTAAAGAATTAGATGAGATTACCAATAAAGAGAAAAATATAGGAATTCCAGAGTCGAGCAGTTGCACAACTGAAGTAAAGAAGGCACGAGATGAGCTCAGCGGCAGGAAGCCACAGAACCTGCAGGGGGACAGCGGAGGGGATCAGCTGAGCAGCCCCTGCAGGAGCAACAGCCAGGGCGAACCCAGTGAGGGGCCTGTCGGACGCACGAGGCACAGTGAGAGGCACCGTGGGGTCCCGGGGGACCCAGATCATCCACAGGAAGTCAGGGCCAGCACTGCCCGAATCTGACGAGGCATGAATCCAGACAGGGGAAGAAGCTCCACGAACGCGGACGTGGGAAGTACACCCAAGACCGGCTCCACAGGTGCAGGAGACAGAGAGAACGCTGTGGGAAGCGATGTGGCCTGCACACACACACAAGGCACTCTGGGCCAGGTAAACCACACAAGCACAGAGCAGTCGCACGGCAGCAGGGGCCACACGGCACCGGGACTCACACGGCAGCAGGGGCCACACGGCACCGGGACTCACACAGTACCAGGACTCGCACGGCAGCAGGGGCCACACAGCACCGGGACTCACACAGCAGCAGGGGCCACACGGCATCGGGACTCACACGGCATCGGGACTCACACGGCACCAGGGGTCACAGGGCACTGGGACTCGCACGAGCACCGAGCAGCTGCACGCCTCAAAGTGTCAAGACAGAGACAGTCAACTGAGAAGTCAGAGTCTCACCAAACGGTGTTTTAAGAGAGTAAAGATCTGTCTTCCTCGCTGGATTGGTAACTCTGCCTTTTAAATAAATAAAGCAAATCTTTAAAAGCATAAAAGAAGGGCTGGTGCCAAGGTGTAGCAGGCAAACTCACCATCTGTGGCACTGGCACCACATACAGGTACCAGTTATAATCCAGCTGCCCTACTTCCCATCCAGCTCCCTGCTTGTGGCCTGGGAAAGCAATTGAGGACGGCCTGAGGCCTTGGGACACTGCACCCTTGTGGGAGACCTGGAGGAGGTTCCTGGTTCCCGGCTTCGGATCAGCGCAGTACCGGCCATTGCACTCACTTGGGGAGTGAGTCACCGGACGAAGATCTTCCTCTCTGTCTCTCCTCCTCTCTGTATATCTGACTTTGTAATGAAAAATAAATAAATCTTTAATAAATAAATAATAGAACAACTCAAGCCACGGGGAAGACCCGTACCCCGCGGACAGCTCGAGAAGCCGTGGGCAGGTGGCCCTTCCTCACCTTCAATATCCAACAGAGGCTGCTGGCTGACAGCGACTTTGTTCACGTCCCCGTCGAACATCCCCATCAAAGAGGTCTTCAAGATTGCCAACAGAAGCTTCTCCTCTTGCAGTAAGATCTGTCTTTTATCTGGGGTCACATTCACGTCGACACATTCTGAGGTGCAGAAGGAAATACGCTGGGTGAAGCCCACCGTGGGCAACGCACACCTCGCTGCCACTTTCTCGCAAAAGCCATTTTAGTATCCTGATTAATACTCAAAACTTGTAGCATTAGCTTTTTCAAACAAAGAAAGAACAATTTTTGAAAGAGACAAAATACGCAAAGATGTGAATGTATAACTCGTTAGGTAATAAAAGTAAACTATGATATTTTATCCACGAATGAACTTAGCATTTAGACAACAAAGTTACTACATGGTGAGCCGATGTGCACAATGACTCAATCATTCTATCCAGGTATGTATCTTAAGGAAACAGCTAAACATGTGTGGGGTATCTTAGGGGGCCTGGAGGATCCAGCTCACCGAGCCCGCCTGTATGGTGGGTGCTGAACCCGTGAGCCTCAGGGGTGGGGGTTCCAGGTGGGCCTTTGGTCTTCTGGCCCAGATCCTGGGGCCCACCTACATAGTGGGAGGGTGTCAGGTCCATGATCCCTGGGGATGGGAGGGTCCACTAGGGCTTGGGTCTCCTGGCCCAGGTCCTTGAGGTCTCGTGTGTGTTGGGTACTGATCCATGAGCCCCATGGGTGGGGGTTCAGCAGATCCTGGGCTGCCTGGCTCACCACCTAGAACTGGTCCTCCCCAGTGCTGAAGATGGAGTGCTGGATGGCAGACCACGGTGCACACGGAGGACATGACAGCTCACTGGGGCCTGCAGAGGACATCTGGTACCACAGCAGAGAACGGAGAACAGAACATACGGACAACTACCCAGCCAAACAATGACAGCAAATATCTGGCTGACTGGAAACCGTAAGACCGATGGTGTCAGTCAATGGACATTGGAAGGGATTCCTCATCCACAGATGGGCGACACTGACAGCATTTCCAAACTACTGCATCCGCTGGGCAGAACCTTCAGAACATGCGCCATTGTGACCCTGGGTTGACATCAGGTGGCCTTGCCCCATCCTCGGGTACTGGGATGGTTGGCAGGCTGGGAATGGCCTATCCCTTTATCTCTCCCCGCCCCCCGAAACAAGAAGAAGAAATAAGCTTGGAAACAATGATCAGACCCACCTCTCCCTAACCCTAGATCCTCCCCACCCCAATCAACCATGTAAACATCATCTAAAATAAACAAATAATTAAATAAAGATATGTGGTGCATTTCAAAAGGTCATGGGCAAACAGAATGAAGAGACTAGCTTTGGGCAAACATGTTTTCAAATCCACATGTAACTTTCTCCAAAAATTCAATTTCCACAAATGTTCTAAACACTCCCCCAACACACAGAGTTTTCAGTCGCTTTTGGGGGGCGGCCGGCGTTGTGGCCCAGTGGGTCAGGCTGCCCGGTTTTGACATCCACACCCCACAGAGGAACACTGGTTCAAGCTGCAGCTTCTGGCCGATGCACCTGGGCAGACAGGAAATGGCCCAAGGACTCGGGCTCCTGATACCTGCGTGAGACCAGGACCCAGCTCCTGGCTTTGGCCTTGCTCGGTCCTGGCAGCTGCAGCTATTTAAACAGCACGTAAGCGGACGAAAGATTCCCATCTCTCCGTCACTCTTGGGCCAATGCTGTTGTACAGCAAGCTAAGCCTCTGCCTGCAGCACACCCCACATGGGTGTTGGCTCAAGTCCTGGCTCCTCCACTTCCAATCCAGCCCCTTGCTTACAGTCGGGGAAAGCAAGTGACAGTGGCTCAAGTTTCTGCTGTGCTACACCCACATGGGAAACGCAGCAAGCTCCTGGCTCCTGGTTTTAAATTGGCCCAGCTCTAGCCACTGCAGACATTTGGGGAATAAACAAGCAGATGCGAGACCTCTTTCTCTGCCACAACATCTCCCTCTCTCTGTGACTCTTTCAAATAAATAGTTAAAAAATAATTTTAAAAAAATTTACATTTTGGGCCTGGTATGGTAGCTTAGTGGCAAAAGTCCTTGCCTTGCATATGCCAGGATCCATTATGGTGCTGGTTCATGTCCTGGCTGCCCCACTTCCCATCCAGCTCCCTGCTTGTGGCCTGGGAAAGCAGGCGAGGATAAGCCAAAGCCTTGGGACCCTGCACCGGCATGAAAGACCTGGAAGAAACTCCTGGCTCCCGGCTTTTGGCTTTGGATTGGCTCAGCTCGGGCCACTGTGGCCCACCTGGGTAGTGAATCAACTCGTGGATGGACAATCTGTGTCTCTCCTTCTCTCTGTAAATCTGATTCCAATAAAAATAAATCTTTAAAAAAATACACATTTTATTTGAAAGATAGATTTAGAAAGACAAAGATTTTCCAACTGCTTACTCCCCAAATGCCCGCAGCAACCAGGGTGGGACCAAGTAACAGCCAGGAGCCTGGAGTTCCGCGCAGTCTCCCTCATGGGTGGCAGGGGTCCAGGTATTGAGCCATTATCCGCTCCCCTGCCATGTGCATTCAAAGGTAGCCAGCCTACAAGCAGGACAGCCAGCACTCTGCTGTGTGATGTCAGCATTGAAACCAGCAGCTTAACCTACTGTACCACGGTGCTGGCACCTTGGGCAAACATTTTCATCTTTTCTTGCTTGAAATTAAAAAACAAGTCCATTTTCCTAATGATACAATGAATACAGTTTTAATCAGAAAAGAAGAAAATCTACATGAACCCATATCACATAAATCGTTCTCTTTCCAACCACATCGGGGCTCAATAATTCCTTTTAATTCTTTCGGGAGGACCAAAGCACCCGGCTGGCGGAAGCCTCAGGGGCACGCACCTGCGTCAACAGCAATGTTCAGAACGACGAACGGATGCTGGTGCCGGTTGTACATGTGGTACACCTCGTTCACGAGCCTGGAGACCTGCACGCAGAGAGAGGTCAGGGGAACGCAGGCAGCCACTCCTGTGACGCCCCAGACACCTGCACGCAGAGAGAGGTCAGGGGAACGCACACACCACTCCTGTGACGCCCCAGACACCTGCACGCAGAGAGGTCAGGGGAACGCACACACCACTCCTGTGACGCCCCAGACACCTGCACGCAGAGAGGTCAGGGGAACGCACACACCACTCCTGTGACGCCCCAGACACCTGCACGCAGAGAGGTCAGGGGAACGCACACACCACTCCTGTGACGCCCCAGACACCTGCACACTGAGAGAGGTCAGGGGAATGCACACACCACTCCTGTGACGCCCCAGACACCTGCACGCAGAGAGAGGTCAGGAGGGAACACACACACCACTCCTGTGACGCCCCAGACACCTGACGCAGAGAGAAGTCAGGGGAACGCGCACACCACTCCTGCGATGCTCTCACCACACGGCTTCCCCACCAGCAGACAAGTACACAACAATCAATCTGCTAAGCTCAGACACGCCCAAGGAGATTTCGGAGGTTTGGGGAAGGGACCAGTGCCATGGTGCAGCCTGTTAAGCTGCCATCTGAAACGCCTACAGTGCTTATCTGAGCCCTGGTTCCCATCCTGGCAGCTTCACCTGCCACTCAGCTCTCTGCTAATGGGCACCCTGGGAAGGCAGCTGATGACCCAGCCACTCGCCCCTAGCACACATGTGGGGGACTCAGATGGAATTCCCGGCTCCTGGCTTCGGACAGCTGGGCCAAGGCGGCCATCTGGGGAGTGAACCAGCAGATGTAAGATCTCTGCTTCTCCTTCTCTCTCTCAGTAATTGCTTCAATTAAAATAAATAAGTACTGTGTCAGTGGGGGGAACCCAGGAACCCTGAAATCAAGACAAATCCCTCAACTCTAAGGCAAGCAGGCTGCTGCTGTAGTTAGATGGTCACGCTGGCATCCCACATGGGCACTGGGTCCACTTCCGAGCCAGCTCCCTGCTCATGGCCTGGGAAAGCAGCGGAGGACGGCCCAAGCGCTTGGGCGCCTGCACCCGTGTGACAGGTCTGCATGAAGTTCCTGGCTCCTGGCTTCAGCCTGCTCTAGTCCCAGCCATCTACGAGTGAACCCGTGGGAAAGTTCTCTCTCTCTCTCTCTTTCTCTGCCTCTCCTTCTCCCTCACTCTCTAACTCTGCCTTTCAATCGAAAAAGTAAGTAATTAAAAAACAAAACAAAACCAAAACAGAAAGTCTGCAGCAGGGCCCTCATTCTTCTGTAAACAGACACCGTGTGCTCTGTCGGTGTTCGGGAACCCCCGCAGGGCAGTGCACTGGGGCACTGGGGCATTGTGGCCCTGGGGCACTGTAGCCCTGGGGCATTGTGGCCCTGGGGCACTGCGGCACTGGGGCACTGCGGCCCTGGGGCACTGTGGCCCTGGGGCACTGCGGCACTGGGGCACTGCGGCCCTGGGGCACTGCGGCCCTGGGGCACTGGGGCACTGCGGCCCTGGGGCACTGCAGCCCTGGGGCACTGGGGCACTGTGGTCCTGGGGCACTGTGGCACTGGGGCAGGCTGTGACAGGCTGTCATGGCTGTGTGTTCGCCCAGCTGTGCACATCCATGCACACATACATGTAATACACATATATATACACATACAGGCATTTGACACAACTGCACAGACCTTTGTAAGTGCCTAAAATAATACCTTCCTATTCACAATTTTTAAAATATTCTTTCTATTTGTATTACTATTTACTGGAAAGACAGAACATGTGAAAGATAAAGACCTTCCACATGCGGATTCACGTTCTGTAAGAAATGCTGTTCGACGCCCACACAGCTGGGACGGGGGCAGGCCAAAAGCAAGGAGCCCAGAGCTCCCGCTGGGTCTTCCACACGCCGGCAGGGGCCCAAGCAGTTGGGTCTTTGCCGTCTGCCTTCCCAGGCACATGAGCAGGGCACTGGATTAACAGCAGAGTGGGGGACTGCAATCAGTACTGTGATACGGCATGCCATTACCGCAAGTGGCAGCCTAACCCACTCCACCACAAAGAATATCTTTTAGGAGCCAGGGCTGTAGCACAGTGCACTAAGGCCCTGCCTGAGATGCTGGCATCCCATGAGGGTACCGGTTCAAAACCTGGCTGCTTCACTTCCCATCCAGCTCCCTGTAAACAGGCCTCGAAAAACAGAAGATGGCCCAGGTTCCTGGGCCCCTGACATCCAATGAGACTTCTACACGGTGTTCTAGGCTCCCGGCTTCAGCCTGGCCCAGCCCTGGCTACGGGAGACACTTCGGGAGTGAGTTAGTGAACCAGGATTCACCTCTCCCTCTGCAACTCTTTCAAATAGAGATTATAACGCTTTAAGAATAAATATAGGGCCTGGCAGCGTGGCCTAGCAGCTAAAAGTCCTTGCCTTGAACACGCCCGGGATCCCATATGGGCGCCAGTTCTAATCCTGGCAGCTCTACTTCCCATCCAGCTCCCTGCTTGGGGCCTGGGAAAGCAGTCGAGGACGGCCCAAAGCCTTGGGACCCTGCACCCGCGTGGGAGACCCGGAAGAAGTTCCTGGATCCTGGCTTCGGACCGGCATAGCATCGGCCATTGCACTCACTTGGGGAGTGAATCATCGGACAGAAGATCTTCCTCTCTGTCTCTCCTCTCTGTATATCTGCCTTTCCAATAAAAAATAATTAAAAAATAAATCTTTAATAAAAAAAAGAATAAATACATGTTTTTTAACTAAAAGCCCCGAATTCAACATAAACTGCTAATGTAGAAAAAAAAAATCATCAAATGATAAATTAATTAAAGAGAAAGTTAAAGACGTAAAGAGTAAACACACACAAAGAGTTGCATACATCACATAAATACCTTGGCTGGGTCACAAGGCCGTCGGTTGATGAAGAAAAACTGTCTGTCGGTTGAGCTCCTTCCCGCACCGTGGGTGCACTGCGATATGAAACCTGAGATACTGTGCAAAGCGCACACAATGAGGGCAGCGCTCCAGAACGAAGCCAGCAGAAACACTTCTCCACGGACAAGCACAGCATGCCCCATCAGCCCAGGCCTCCGGAACCTTCTAGAGCCCCTATGGTCACTGAGTCCAGCCCAGGCAACACAGAGGCTCACACCCTCTCCTCTGTCCTTCCCTGAGACGTTCGGGGCCCGCATGGGGGGACCCAGAACCGCTGTGAGTGGACTCGAGTAGACTTGTCCTGGAACGCACCCACTCGGAGCCAGGGTCTGGCCCATGTTCTCTGTGCTGGATGGGCACACCACGTTGCCGGAGGCGTCAGTCCAGTGCAGCTCCTGAGCGGGGCTCTACCATGGGTCTGCATTTTTCCCTAAATGCACAGAGACATCACAGGCCCGCAGCAGAAGCGATTGGCGGGATGGGATCGATGATGGGAGCTGTCTTTACGGCCCCAAGCCCGTCCAGCACGTAGCTGCTGCTCTTACGCTGCCCTAATGCTGCTGGCCTGCCGGCCCGCCAGACCCCCAAAGACCACTCATGTACAGCAATTTACAACAGGTGCCAACGTGCAGTGCGTCAACCCTGAGCAGGGAAATAAGCCCGCCCTACCACACTCCAAACACCAATCTGTAGCAGCAACACAAGAGGCCTTCAAAAAGTCGATGGAACAAGCACATTATAAAAACAAACAGAACCACTACAATTGCCTTTTAAAATTTTTTGCACAATGTTGTGGTCACTTGGGGAGTGAATCAACAGACGGAAGATCTTCCTCTCTGTCTCTCCTCCTCTCTGTGTATCTGACTTTGCAATAAAAATAAGTAAATCTTAAAAAAAAAAAGTTTTGCACAAGTTAAACTTATCTATGAATCTCATTTTCTATGAAATATAGCCAACTGTTTTATAAAGGACCTTAAAAATAATTTTAAAAGATATAAGAAAGACTATCTTTAGGAGGAAAAGAGAGGAAGGCAGCTTGTCTGGCAGGGACGGAACTTACTGGAAGAGGTTGTGCAGCGTCTCAGAGCAGCTGAGGCCGTACTCCTCACACACGGGGTTGCTGGGGGGCCGCTGCACGAAGGGCAGGAGGCTTTGTAACTGGAGGGAGACAAGCGTGCAGTTAGCCGCCTGAGGAGGACAGGCCGACCGCTCTCTGCAAGCCATGGAGTGCTTGCTTCCTAGCCAGGTCACCTGCGTGTAGGGCACAAAGAGATCGGAGACCCCAAGACTTGAACTGCCACGGTCACCCTACAGGCACTCCCAGTTATGTCTCAGCCACACTCTGCCTGTGAGAGGCAGGAAGCAGGCAATCAGAAACGCGGGGCTCTCGCACTTTGGAATCCAGCCGTCAGAGGCCACTCAGTGCCGTGGGTAAGGACCGAGGGCACGCATCACGGGGGTGAGAAAATGTCTGGGAGCAAGCGTCACTACCTGCTTCTGCCCGAACACAGACGCGATGTTCTCCTTCACGCTGCAGCTGCCACTGGTGCTCGCCACAGGCTGTCGCTTGCCTTGTCCCAGCTGGTTGGTGCAGCTGACACGGACGCCCGTTGAAATGATGCAGTACGCGTGCAGCACCTGGACCATTTTGGCATACTCCTGATTGGAAAAAAAAAAAGCAAAACAAACAAAAAACACAGATACATGGCCCCGAGTTACTTTAATCCCACAGGGATTACATGGGGAAAGTAACAACATCGAGACTGAAGATCCTGTACCCACCTCACAGTGCGGGAAGTGCCTCCTGTACCCACCTCACAGTGCGGGGAAGTGCCTCCTGTACCCACCTCACAGTGCGGGGAAGTGCCACCTCACAGTGCGGGGAAGTGCCTCCTGTACCCACCTCACAGTGCGGGGAAGTGCCTCCTGTACCCACCTCACAGTGCGGGGAAGTGCCACCTCACAGTGCGGGGAAGTGACCACCTGTACCCACCTCACAGTGCAGGGAAGTGCCTCCTGTACCCACCTCACAGTGCGGGAAGTGCCTCCTGTACCCACCTCACAGTGCGGGGAAGTGCCTCCTGTACCCACCTCACAGTGCGGGGAAGTGCCACCTCACAGTGCGGGGAAGTGACCACCTGTACCCACCTCACAGTGCGGGGAAGTGCCTCCTGTACCCACCTCACAGTGCGGGGAAGTGCCACCTCACAGTGCGGGGAAGTGACCACCTGTACCCACCTCACAGTGCGGGGAAGTGTCTCCTGTACCCACCTCACAGTGCGGGGAAGTGCCACCTCACAGTGCGGGGAAGTGACCACCTGTACCCACCTCACAGTGCGGGGAAGTGCCTCCTGTACCCACCTCACAGTGCGGGAAGTGCCTCCTGTACCCACCTCACAGTGCGGGGAAGTGCCTCCTGTACCCACCTCACAGTGCGGGGAAGTGTCTCCTGTACCCACCTCACAGTGCGGGGAAGTGCCTCCTGTACCCACCTCACAGTGCGGGGAAGTGCCTCCTGTACCCACCTCACAGTGCGGGGAAGTGACCACCTGTACCCACCTCACACTGCGGGGAAGTGCCTCCTGTACCCACCTCACAGTGCGGGGAAGTGTCTCCTGTACCCACCTCACAGTGCGGGGAAGTGCCTCCTGTACCCACCTCACAGTGCGGGGAAGTGCCTCCTGTACCCACCTCACACTGCGGGGAAGTGACCTCCTGTACCCACCTCACAGCGCGGGGAGGAAGTGACCACATGATGGTCTACAGAGAGGCAGCTCCAGGATGCCACTGACGGGCTCCTAGCACTGTCCCATCACTATAAAACACACGAAAGAGGGCCCAGCATGATAGCCTAGCAGCTAAATTCTCACCTTGCACACATCAGGATCCCACATGGGCACCGGTTTGTGTCCTTGCAGCCCCACTTCTCTCCCAGCTCCCAGCCTGTGGCCTGGGAAAGCAGTGGAGGATGGCCCAAAGCCTTGGGACCCTGCACCCGCATGGGAGACCTGGAGGAAGCTCCTAGCTTCAGTCTGACCCAACCCTGCCTGTTGCAGCTGTCTGAGGAGTGAACCAGAGAATGGAAGATCTCTCTTTCTCTCTAACAATGCCTTTCAAATAAATATTAAGGAGAAAAAGCATATTCCCTTTATCTTGTAATTCCACCTCTAGCAATGCGTCTTTGAAGATAGACCAGCAGGGTCATGCCAAGACATTTTATCACAGCTACGCCTACGGAAGGCCGGAAAGAACCTACACCGCCTTGAGCACGGAGCGCACGACAAAGGCCAATCCACGCCCTGCTGCAGCGCTGAATCAGGCGGAGTGAGCTTCCAAAGACGACGGTTACAATACACAGTCAGCTATCCAACATGCACACACGACCACCGTCTCGAAGAATCCAAACACACAAAGACTGAAGAATACACATGCAGGCACTTCAAAATGTTTGTGCAAAGTGGAACTGATCATGCAAAATAGTTCTGAAATTCAGCTATATGGAATCTTTTCAAAAAATTCACAGCGGGTCTGGCGTGATAACCTAGTGGCTAAAGTCCTCGGCTTGAACGCGCCGGGATCCCATATGGACGCTGGTTCTAATCCCAGAGGCTCCACTTCCCATCCAGCTCCCTGCTTGTGGCCTGGGAAAGCCGTTGAGGACGGCCCAAAGCCTTGGGAATCTGTACCTGCGTGGGAGACCTGGAAGAAACTCTTGGCTTCAGATTGGCTTCAGCTCTGGCATTGCGGCCGCTGGGGGAGTGAATCATCGGACGGAAGATCTTCCTCTCTATCTCTCCTCCTCTCTGTATATCTGACTTCACAATTTAAAAAAAAAAAAATCACAGAAAATCCACTCTCAGGACTCCTCAGGTGGAGCCGATTGCACTGCCAATCCTGGCTGCCAGCTACCGTGTCGGGAAGCAGCAGGGCACGGCTCAAGTAAGTGAGTGCCCGCCACCCACACAGGAAACCAGGGTGGCACTCCTCATTTGGGCCTGGCTCAGTCCTGGCTGTCGTGACCACCTGGAGAATTAGCCAGCACACAGATGCCTCACTCTCTCTTCCAAGCTAAAAAAAAAAAAGCCTAACACATTTGAATTCCAAATTCTTCTACAGCAAAATAAGCTTATGAGGGCAGGAACCAGGGGCAGGGCTGGCAGTGCTGACACACACCTTGCGAGGCAGCAGGTGTCGGCCCGTCTGGCTGCATTCCCCAACCGCCCACGCAGGACAGCTGCACTGCGTGACTCTGGCTCGTGCTGCGCAGACACCCAAGCAGTGAACCAGAGGAGTGGAGATTTAAATAAAACAAAACTTAAAAATAATAAACTTATCTTCTAAGGCCATTGTCGGAATACATCCAATAGGATGGCTGGGACCGCAGAGGCCCGTAGGATCCAGTTAAGAGGCTCCAGGAAAAGGCGAAGGGCCTCTCACCCAGCGTGCACTCTTGCCCCCAGTGAGTCATTGGAGGGTGAACATCCAATTATTCTGGATCAAAGAGGTGCTTCTTATCTACCTGTCACACCAATGGTGCTTTGATCTTGCCAGCTCTCCTGGAACTCACTACTTGCACACACGTGGCGTGAGTTGAGCATCAAACCTGGTCACTGTAACCGCTGTCTATGTTTGAACTGTTGCTTTGCTGAATTATGTCAACTGGAACCCTGGGAATAAAGTCTGTCAGTTGCCCAAGAGAGCACTGTCCCCCCTGGCCCCCATTCCTTTTCGGTCCCCAGGAACCCACTAGGTAAACTTGGAGCCATTTTGCCACCAACTTCCTACACAGTTAAAGAACAGAAACTGAACTCACGTAGGGTAAGAATGAGAGCAGACAATTTCAACATTCAGTTGCATACAGCTTATGGATAATTGGAATGCTGGGCATATTATACTACTTGCTTTCATTATACTAATTTACTTATCTCAAGAAATTTCCCAACACTTATAAACATATGGAATTAACTCTTAGTAATGCAACTTCTTCTTTTTTAGGATTTATCTGACAGTCAGAGCTACAGAGAGGGAGAGCCAGAGAGCTGCTCCATCTGCTGGTCCACTCCCCAGAGGCCACTGTGGCCAGTGCTACAGCAGGTGGGAGCCAGCAGCAAGCAGTCTCCTCCTGGTGCCTCACAGGTCCCTCCTAGGGCTATCTCCTGCTGCTGCTTTTCCCAGGCCATGAGCAGGGAGCTGGACCAGACAAAGGGCAGCCGGGACATCAACCAGGCACCCATATGAATGCGCAATGTCACAGGTGGTGGCTTTAGCTGCTAGGCCACAACGTCAGCTCCCACCCCCTCCCAGTAATTTTCTGAGAAGATCATTTTTACTTTATATAAAATGCCAATAGATAAATATTTTCTACACTGTCACAATTCTAAACTAAAACTTTACATGTAAAATTGCTCTACAACTAAAGTTTTCCGTTGCGTGTAAGTAACTTGTCGAATTCTAAAACAGATACACACTTGCATGAGAAATGTACACTCCACAAGGCACAAAGGACACACGAGCCACACAAGGCTGCAGGTCCAAGTGGCTGCGGGCGTGCTCTAGCCCTCCAGCTCTCCACCCGCACTTAGGCCAACTGTTGGGACACATCCGTAATCATTTAACACGGGCAATTCCGTAATTGGCATTCTAGACACAATAATTAGTGTCAACAAACATCAGCTGTTTTAACTGCATTCAAATTCGTAAAGATTGCAATACTCTGTTTTCACCCAAAGAAATAAAATATTTGAAAAATGAAGACAGGGATGGGCGCTTGGTACAGCGGTTTAAGATACCCCTGGGATGCCCGGGGTTCAAGCCTCAGCAGGTCCACTGCCAAATCTAGTTTCCTGCCAGTGGCCAGCCTGGAAGGCAGCAGGACAGGAGCCCAACCTTGGAGTGTCCGGAGTGTCCGGCTCCTGGACACACGGGAAGTGAACCAGTGAAAAGTTACTTATAAGGCACCCACGCACGCCTGAGAAACCGGACCTGCCACCAGTGACTCATGATAAAGATGACGCTCTCTGCAGAAACTAGAAGGGCGGAGCCAACAGCACGGCGAACCGCGCACGCCACACAGGTCACTCACCACACCTTCTTAATATTCCTCTGAAATTCCTTGTGGCGCACAGGCAACGGATAGAACAGCTGCTGCACGCTGACCGTGGTCCCTTGGGGTCGTGGACAGGGGGTTTTCTGGAGGATTTTGCCATTGCGGTCGAATACCAGGCGGGTGCCAACCTGCGCTGACGAGTGGCGGGTAGAGATGCTCACGTCACTGCAAGAGAACACCAGACGGGGCGTGTTAAGTTAGGGGGCACCGATGCCGGCACGGACATTCGTCTCCCCAAGCCCCTCTGAAATGGATGCGGATGTCTCCCGGAGACAATCCGCAGGGCTTGGACGGGCCAGCAGCCTTCACAAAGCACCTAAAGACAGAAAGTGCGGTACACGCTTTCATATGGATGTGGATCTCACTTTCTAGGCTGAATTGCAAAATTATGTATTTGCCCAAAATAAAAGCTTCTTGGTTTTGTTGATGTTCTAACAAAACCTTAAAAAGAGATTAAAAAAAAAAACCCACAATGATTCAAATACATAATCACAGAAATAAAGCATCTGTGCTAAGAATTAAGTTCGCTAGTTACATTTTTTCTTTTTTTTTCTTTTTTAAAGATTTGTTTTATTTTTTTTTTATTGGAAAGGCGGATATACAGAGAGGAGAGACAGAGAGGAAGATCTTCCGTCCGATGATTCACTCCCCAAGTGAGCGCAATGGGCCGATACTATGCTGATCCGAAGCCAGGAGCCTCTTCCGGGTCTCCCACGCGGGTGCAGGGTGCCAAAGCCTTGGGCCGTCCTCGACTGCTTTCCCAGGCCACAGGCAGGGAGCTGGAAGGGAAGTGGGGCTGCCGGGATTAGAACTGGCGCCCATATGGGATCCCGGGCGTGCAAGGCGAGGACCTTAACCACTGCGCCATCGTGCCGGGCCCCATTTTTTCCTTTTCTAAAAGTTGAATAGAGATTAAGACCAATGGGATCTACAGCTTCTTATCTATGTTATTTTAAAATTGAGTAACTGCTGTTTTGACAAAGGTAACAAAATTTTTTTATACTGTTGGTTTCATTTCATTCATTTACTTCTCTTCGTTTACTCCTCGCATTTCAGAAATGTTACTTTGGGCAATACTGAAAGTTGGGAGGTGAGGCATTCATACAAAGGGGGGGGGGTGGGCAATAGCACAGCAACTGTGAGATGCTCAGGCAGTTCAGGGAGGACCGGGCAGTTCAGGGAGGACTGGGCAGTTCAGGGAGGACCGCCAAAGGGCTGATGGGTGAAAGCATCGCATCACCTCAGGGCGCAGAGCGAGCTCAGAGCTTCCCCCCGGAAGCCAAAAGTCGTGACGTGTGTGAGGTCAGCGAAGTCTTGAATCTTAGAAGTGTGGTGCTTCAGGGCTGCAAGAGGGAAGGAAGGAGGGCCCGGTGACACCGGTGACATGACGAGGGAACACCCACTGCAGCCGCCACCCCAGAACACGGTCTCGGGCGACACAGTGGACAGTACCCACTGCACCCATCACGACCAGCCCCCAGAACACAGTCTTAGGGAGACACAGTGGACAGCACCCACCGCACCCATCACGACCAGCCCCCAGAACACAGTCTTGGGTGACACAGTGGACAGCAGCCACCGCACCCATCACGACCAGCCCCCAGAACACGGTCTCAGGCGACACAGTGGACAGCACCCACTGCACCCATCACGACCAGCCCCCAGAACACGGTCTCAGGCGACACAGTGGACAGCACCCACTGCACCCATCACGACCAGCCCCAGAACACGGTCTCAGGCGACACAGTGGACAGCACCCACTGCACCCATCACGACTACCACCCCAGAATACCGCTTAATTTTCTCCTAGACAGAGGACCCACAATTTTGAGGCCTGTGGCCCCATTCTGTTACCAGTAAGATGAGAAACACCTCACATACTCAGGCCTTCGAAGTTTTCTTCTTCCACTCCACATCCGTTGTCTGAAACTTCAATGAGCTCCACCCCGTAGTCTTTCAGTCTTAGCTCTAAGAAATTCAAAATATTTACACTTTAATGGTTGTCCCAAGTTAAAAGGCTATTATGCTGCCACTACTTATAATGCATAATTCAAATTAAAGTTCGAAAGAATACTTTTATTTATATGTGTTACTGTTACTTTGTGTCTTTCATTTCTTACAAAAGCTATTTTTTTCCTTCTTACTAGCACAGATTGAAGAATACATTTTTGATTTGTCATTTGTCTTTTGAAAGGAATAATTTTAATAGTCATTACAGAAAACAGGATGGGGACAGGCAAAGTGGCATATCAGGTTAATCCTCTACCTACAAGTACTAACATCCCAGATGGGCACCAATTTCAAGTCCAGGCTATTCCACTTCTGACCCAACTCCCTGGTTGTGGCCTGGGAAGGCAGTGGAGGATGGCCCAAGGCCTTGTGCCCCTGAAAGTCACATGGGAGACCCAGAGGAAGCTCCTGGCTTCCAACCAGCTCAGCTCTGGCCTCTTTGTTTCCTGAAACCTCTAAGAGCCTCCCACCTGCACATTCATTCTTCAATGATAGAATAATTTTTTTTTTAGATTTATTTTTATTATTTTTTCATTGGAAAGGCGGATACACAGAGAGGAGAGACAGAAAGGAAGATCTTCCGTCCGATGATTCACTCCCCAAGTGAGCCACAACGGCCGATACTATGCCGATCCGAAGCCAATCCGAAGCCAGGAGCCTCTTCCGGGTCTCCCACGCGGGTGCAGGGTCCCAAGGCTTTGGGCCGTCCTCCACTGCTTTCCCAGGCCACAGGCAGGGAGCTGCATGGGAAGCGGGGCTGCCGGGATTAGAACCGGCGCCCATATGGGATCCCGGGCGTGCAAGGCGAGGACTTAACCACTGCGCCACCGCGCCAGGCCCTAGAATAATTTTTAAAATTTGTTTTTTATTAGACAGGCAGATCAGATTTACGGAGAGAAAGATCTTTCATCTTCTGGTTCACTTCCCAAATGGTCAGAGAGGCCCGAGCTGAGCTCATCTGAAGCCAGGAGCTTCTTCTGGGTCTCCCAAACAGGTGCAAGGTTCCAAGGCCTTGGGCCGTCCTCCATTGCCTTCCCAGGTCACATGCAGGGAGCTGGATGGAAAGTGGAGCAACTGGGACATGAACCAATGCCCACATGGGATCCCGGAAGTTGCAAGGTAAGGATTTAACCACTGAGCCATCACCCAGGTCTCAGGTTTTTATTTTAAAGGTGAAAACCCAGGCATGTCACACATGCTCTAACTTTTAAGCAATAATTCACAGATATACCGAGGATTTTTATTACAGGAATACACATTTTTGAAATCCAACAGTACACCCAAGGCCTTAAGGCAAAAAGCTTGGGAACTCACCGATGTTGGTGGCGCCTGCGTCCACGCTGTTTTCTATCAGCTCCTTCACGGCCGTACTGAGGCTCAGCACCACCTGCCCAGAGCAAATCTGGTGGACTGACTTCCGGTCAATGGGTCGGATGGCCTTGGCAAGCTCTGTGCTGGAGGAACCAGCAGGGAGCATCCGGTTATGCGTTTTCATTTACATGTACCCACCCCTGATGGGACCCTAGCCAGGGAGTAAGCTCACTGCTGACATAATCCTTAAACACCTATCCAAAAATACCTTGGGATAGCTGCTTCAAATGCACGTCATAAAAACATTTTTTACAAGTCATAAAAAACGTTTAACTTAAAAATAATTATACAGCTGTATTGTATATATTGTATACAGCTGTATTGTAGCCCTTGAGCTACAGGCCAATCGTTTCGCATCAGTGAAAAACAAAAATTCAAGTGGGACACACAATGGTTATCTTCCCAAAAACCTCCTGGGAGTGGAGAATCCCAGGCATGTAGTCTTTGCTCCCTTGGAGATCCCCACGGAAATTCTATAGAACCGCACCTCTTACAGCTGATTTAATCTCCCAGTTCTCCCCTCCCGCATCCTTCTGCCCATGCCAACCCAGTTCCAGGCTTCCACCAGCGATGCTGAAAACCTCAGCAATGCCAAGGCCAAGCTTGGAGACCTACAGCGCTGCCTCCTAATGGGGGTCAGGGGGCCCCCCCACTCCGCCTCATGCTGTCACTCTCCGGTCCTGCCCCTTGCCCCAAGCCTTCCTCACGTGCACCTTTAGTTTAGCCACTTTCAGAGCAGAGCCCGACTTCCGGCACACCCCCTTGTGCAACCTGGGGACGCCCACCCTCCTGCCCGCAAAAGGGTGGACATTGGGGTGCCGCGGCTTCTGAAATAATAATAATCCCCCACGGGGCTCAGCCCAGACCAGGACCTGGAAGCTCACCCCCTCCCCAAAACACGCTCCACCGAGAGGGGGACCCCGACATGTGTTCTAGGAGAGAGGAACTCGTGTGTAGATGGCCAACCGCATACTCCCACATCCCAACTCGGGGCGACGGCGTCCGCTTCAGAGGGGACCCACGTCCAGCTCCAGCCGCCCATTGCACCCCGGGCCCGAGGAGACGGAGGCGGGGCTCCGGCCCTGAACCCACAAAGCCGAGCAGGTCGCCGGAGCTCCGGGAACTGCACGCTGGCCGCGCTCCTCCCTCCATCCCTCCCCTCGTGTTCTCCCGGGCGCTGGAACGCCAGGGTCCTCAGAGAAGCGGAGAGCGCGAGAGAAGAGCGGCACCCGCCGAGTCCCCCAATTCACCTGCAGCCTTCTGCTCGCTCCATGACTGCGGAAGGCGCCCCGCCTCCGGAGCCCAGGCTGGCTCGCGCTTCCCGGCCGTCCATTGGCTGCTCTCTCCGCTGCGTCCCGCCTCTTCCGGGAGGGCAGCAAACGTCCCCCTCAGCGCCTTCGTGCTGATTGGCTGTGTCCAAAGTCGGTTCCGTGACATCACTGGGAGCCAGGCCAATCAGAGGCCACAAACTGCCTTTCTCTTTCTTTTTTGACTCTGATCGCCGCTGCAGGCGTCAGCTAGGCGGTGGCCGCCGTCCGTCACTCGTGGCCTCGCACGGTGTCGGGGCGCTCTTGCTCCTCACCCGCCGCCTGCATTCCTTTGCCTCCCGCGATGCCCATGTACCAGGTAAAGCCCTATCACGGGGGCGGCGCTCCCCTCCGTGTGGAGCTTCCCACCTGCATGTACCGGCTGCCCAACGTGCACGCCAAGACCGGCGGCCCCGCGCCCGACGTGGGCCACGTGCAGGTAGGAGCGTGCGGACCACGCCCGGTGCGCAGGCGCCGCGGCCCGGCAACGCGACCCCAAAACCGGGGGGGGGGTCCCCCATGCCCAGTGCGCAGGCGCAGCGGCGACCTCGGCCTGCGGTCCCCAAGGGTCCCCAAGCCCCGGCCTGGCTTGCGCCTCCCCTGTTGGGAGCCTCTGTCCATCCTTTTTGTCCTTTATTCGCTCCTGACCGCTTGGGCTTTGGTTACCAAATAGCGACACACACACACACACCCCACACTTGAGGGGCCATTCTGGGCTGGCACACCCTCCCTCGTGACTGACTTTCCTGGCACGGCGCGCCTCGCGACCTTTTCAGCCTGGGTTTCCTCCCTTGTCCTAGCAGAAGTCCGGGTGTCCACGCAAGACTCCCTCACCGTACCCCACTCCACTAACCCCTTGCCGACTAGGGTCACCGTGTGAGCCCCCATGTTGGGCTGTTAATGCCATGGGTGTTCTGACATGCAGGCAGGGCTGGGGGCTGTGTATTTATATATTAGATATTTATTGTATATACCCACCCATCCTTGGGATTGTGTGTGTTTATGTCCAGCAGCGGCAATGGGGCTGCCGGCTCCCTCTTGACTGACCACCTTGCTTTCCCAAGTGGTTCTACCGGTTTCTCCTCTGCGATGGGTTTGGACCCGACAGGCAGGAAGCTGGTGGGCAGGCCGGCTGGCCGGAGTAGTCACATGCCCAGGCATCCCTTTAGACAGGACCGCCCTGACGCTTGGGTGAACTTGGCAGAGCTTCCTGCAGCTGTCCCCTGCTCTGATGCACGTGGCCGGCCGGGTCTTTGGTGGCTAGCAGAGTGCAGCCACACATCCTGGGATTCCGCAGGAGAACCGGCCTGTCCGCTCCCACAGCAGCCTGCGGGCAACGTCTGCTCAGTGCTCTGTTTTCCTTCGCTTGGTCTTCATGACTCGCTGTCCTACGGCTTGGAAGGGAGAAGGTTAGCTTAGCTTGGAACCGAGTGACCTGCCCAACGTGTCAGCACGGGGGCTGAGAAACAAGAGCATGTGTAGTTCTGTGGCTCCGTGACCACTGCCAGCGCAGCACAAGCAGAGCCCCGAGAAGGAGGTCCCCAACACCGGAGACCAAACTTCTGTTTATGTTTAACTTCCTGTGGACTCAGAAAACACATAGCCCTCTTCCAGCAGGTGCTAACAGTACAGAAAATTGGATTTAAAAAAAAAGGGCATGAGGACCATGGAAGGGCTAGTAGTAGCTTCCGAATACTTGTGGCATGAAGGCAGGTCACAGCACAGAGGGTGGAGTGGCCCCTCCGGACACCCCCTCATCCCATGCTGGACTGTCAGCTTGATTCCCCGGGCCCCTGCATGTGGGATCCAGCTGCCTGTTAACACTCCTGACCTGGAGCTCCTGGCTCCCAGCTTTAAGGCTGCCAGCTCCATGCCATCCAGCAGGTCAGTCTAGTCTGGACAAAGGAAGCAGTGGCTAGAGTGCACAGGAACCGAGGGGTGAATCTGACCTGGGACACTGGGGCACCACTTGAACTGGGTGGGACTCCGCTGGGCCGCGGTCACGCGCGTGGATCACAGTCCATTCTGTACATGACGACCAGCGCCGAGTTCTGAATCTCGCGGGTGCCCCTTCAGCCCCGCGCAAGCCCAGGTGGACAGGGACAGGGACTGCCACTCCGGGCGACAATGGATTAACAGGCAGCTGCGACATGGCAGTGGCCCCGTCACACCTCCTGCATGCCAACCGCCTGCCAGTTGGAAGTCCTGAGCCCTTCTTCCTCGTTCCACCTACCTGAACCTAACTTCCCTTTCCTTGCAGTTAGACCGTGAACCAGACCAGCAGGCCAGCGTTGAGAAGAGGGTGGCTAAGGAACTGATGAGAGAAGGGGGCGAGGAGTCAGCGATAGGGTGTTAGAAACCCGAGTGGTGGTTGACCAGCTCGTGGGACTGTGTGTTTAGGGCCACAGAGCAAGGGTGCAGTGGCCAGGGGCCAAACTGTACAAGCTACTAAGCCACGTTACAGGTTTATTCATTTTATTTGAAAGGCAGAGAGACTCCCCAGGGGGACACAGTGGCTGAGATGACTGGGCCAGTCTGAGGTCGGGAACTTCCTCCAGGTTTCCCAGGCAGGTGCAGGGGCCCAAGCGCTGACCACACCCTCTGCTCCCGCTTCCCAGACCACCAGCAAGGAACTGAATCAGAAGTGAAGTAGGGGGATTTTAAACCAAGCCCTCCAAGAGCAGATGCAACATCCCCAAACTGGGGCTCAACCTGACTACACCACAATTGTCACCCCCAACTTAACTTTCTATCCTAAGAAGTTAGAGCGGGGGAAGATGGTGGCAAGATTTTGAGGGTTTGGGTTTCTTTCCAATTGCTCTGGCTGACATCTTAAGGACTCGAATGGCTGGTGAGGTGAACCAGTTGGAAATGGGCCGGGGGAAAATCGGTTCGGCCTTGGGCAGAAGTAGTTGGCAGACAGAGCCGTCAGTGTGTGGAGGTGAGCGAGCCTGGGAAGGAAGAGATCTGCAGACAGTGAGCCCACCTGCACGCAGCAGGAGCAGCTACACCTGAGCCCCACTCCCTCACAAACCCGCGGTGGCCGCTGCACTCTGTAATCCCCAACCGTAAACTGGATCAGCCGCTGCTGAGAGCATGTGGATCTACGAGCAGGCTGTGCTGCGTGACTTTTCCCTGGAGGTTTCTTGTTCTGCTATGTGGAGCCGCAGACACTGCTGCAGGCGGCAGGGGTGGGCACTCCCAGCCTGGGAGCACAGTAGGCCGTTCCTGCCCACGAGGGCATGTGCATCAGCCCTGGAAGTGAGCACCAGAGCTGCCTGGAAAATGCCCTGTGAACTCGCTTCGTTTGTAGCTCCTCGGTGCCCCCTTTCCCGTCGGCTTGCTTGGCACCCACTGCACCTTGGGGAGTGCAGTCCCTCGGCTCCCTGCCCTGCTTGGTGCCCTGTGGCTCGGGGACCCAGATGAACCTCAGCGTCTCGTTGTGTAGGAGTCCGACCCTTCTCTGCACGCTCTGGAGTCCCGCCAGGACGACATCCTGAAGCGTCTGTATGAGCTGAAGGCCACAGTGGACGGCCTCTCCAAGATGATCCAGACCCCGGATGCAGACATGGATGTCACCCACATCATCCAGGCCGACGAGCCTGCCGCCCTAACGGCCACCACGCTGGACCTCAGCTCGGTGCTTGGAAAGGTCAGCTCCCTTTGGAAACCGAGGAATGCATGTATACGTGTGTGTGAACCTGTGTGTGTGCATGCCAGGCAGTGTGCACATGTGTGCCAGGCAGTATTGCAAACACATGTGCATGCGTGCCAGGCAGTGGCCATATGTGTTAACACATGTGTGTAGTGCCAGGCAGCATGTGTGTGAGAGAACATGTGTGCGTGGATGCCAGGCAGTGAGAACGTGTGTGTGTGTGTGTGTGTGCCAGGAAGTGTGTGTATGAGAACATGTGCGCATGCATGTCATGCAACATGTGTGTGAGAACACGTATGTGCCGGGTACCATGTGTGTGTTGGGCACCATGTGTGCCAGGAAGTGTGTGTATGAGAACATGTGTGCATGTGCACCAGGTAACATTGTGAGAACACATATGTGCCAGGCACCATGTGGTACATGTGTGCGTGCGTGCCAGGCAGTCAGTAGTGTCAGAGATGGTGCCTGTGCTGCAGCGATGCTTCTCTAGAACATATGGGGCTTGCAGAGCACTGGTGTCTCGTGTAGCTCCAGCCCAGAGCCCTGGAACAGTGGCTTTCACCCTCACCTTACTAGCCACCCCGACTCTCCCAGGAACATGACCCTGGAGCCTCAGCTGACCAGACACAAGAAGCCCAGCCGTCCTCTGGCTCCCGTGGGAGCCAGTCTCATACTTCTCACTGAGTTCAGTTTGTAAAAGCAAGTTGCATCAGCCAGACTACATGCCAGCAACTCACTGGTCCAGCTCACTAGTGCAGCAGTCTGATAACGCAAGGAAAATCTCATATTGCTAAGTACTAGCTACTTTAAGATAGAGTAGGGTTAATCCCTGGATCCCCCACGGCCCCTCCTCTGCAGTCGGCAGTCAGCTGGCACTACTCAAGACTGAACAGTAGAAGCGGCATAGGCCATCTCAGCCAGGGCTGTTGTTGTGGCAACCCCAGCACCCATGGGTCAGTGGCACAGCCCTTCACTTGCTCACTGTGTGACACAGCGCCGAAGGTGCTGGGAAGCCTCCTCAGGTTACACGGGGGCTCAGGGTGCCTCCTGATCCCTCGTAAACAGCATCAAATAACGCAGTGTGTCCCGGGCGTGGCTAAGCACTCAGCATAGCTGGCATGGGGAGGGAGGAACTGGCCAGGAGTGACCGGCTGTGGACAGAGCCGGCGCCTAGGCCCTGGCTGTGTGCTGAGATACGTTCACTAAGTGAAGTTGTGGAAGTCAGCTGCCTTTGCTAAGAGGCCTGTAGGTTTGGGCCCTCGGGCCAGTGCCGCATGTTCCAGACCCTGCCAGCTCATTGCCAAGTACCTGTGGAGCACACCCCCCTCCCAGGGGCTCCTCATGGAAGCATCTGGAACAGCGTCAGGGAGCGTCTTGTCAGGTGGTCACCCGTTACAGCCACTAGCTGCCACAATAGTTCATTACAGTGTTGCCGATTCATATCCCTGTTCTGACGGAGCTGAACTCCTGCCTCCCGGGGACTCGGGTGGTCGTGGCGAGAAGTTGGGGGGTCATTGGTGCCTTCCTCTTGGGGGCTGAGCATTGCTTGAAGTACCCTGGGCCGAGTTCTTAGGCTAGCATCTGATGTGTTAGCTGCTACACTGGTCTTTCTAGGACTACGGGGCGCTGAAAGACATCGTGATCAACGCAAACCCTGCCTCGCCGCCGCTCTCCCTGCTGGTGCTGCACAGGCTGCTGTGCGACCACTACAAGGTGCTGTCCACTGTGCACACACACTCATCCGTCAAGAACGTGCCGGAAAATCTCCTCAGGTGCTTCGGAGAGCAGGCCAGGAAGCAGGCGCGCCACGAACATCAGCTGGGCTTTACCCTGATTTGGAAGAATGGTCAGTGGAGACAGCTGGGGTAGATGCGTGTGGGCTCTCCCAAGTTCACGGGACACGCACGCACAAGGTGCAGTGTCACGACACGGCCACCTTCCAGATCAGTGTCTGGTTTGGGTCCTGGCTGCTTGACCTGTAACCCAGCTCTCTGCAGATGTGCCCAGGAAGCAGGGGGTGATGGCTCAAGCACTTGAGTTCCTGCCACACATGTCAGAGACCTGGACAGAATTCCCGGCTTCAGCCTCGCCCAGTCCCAGCTGTTGCAGCCACGTGGGGAAATGGACCGGCAGACAAAGATGTCAGTCTTTCAAATAAATAAAATCTGAAAACTTCAAAGCTGTTTTGCACCAAAGTTAACATCTTTTTTCACTTGATTTGAAAGACGGAGCTCTTCCATCTGCTGCTGGTTCATGTCCCCAAAGGCTTATGGCTGCACCAAGTGGACACCAGGAGTTCTGACACCCAGCTGGGTCTCTTCCATGGGTGGCAGGAACCTAAAGACTTAAGACATCACCAGCTGTATCCCAGGTGCTCCTGAGCAGGAAGCTGGATCGGCAGCAGGGTAACCAGGACCCCAGCATAGGACCCGGTCTCGCATAGCAACTTGCCGAACACCAACTCCTCATGTACCTGTATTTGTTTCATGAGCTTTCTGCAGAAAGCTTGTGTATGTGTGACAAGACATACACAGTGGTTTCCATAAGAGGGGATAGGCCTCTACAGCAGGCAGGCCACACAGCTTGCTGTCCAGTCAAATCCACATAGTCAACATGTCCTGAGGCTCTGGGAAGGACCAGGGTCCTGGGCTTGGGCGGGGAGAGTGTTGAGCTTGCACAAAGACATCCTGTCCAAGGAGACAGAGAGGGAGGGCGCAGCGGCTAGCACAGGTGTGAGGCCTCCCATTCAAGCCCTGACCTGACAGGGACACTGCGTCTCCACAGGGCCCTCGAAGAACAGCAGGGTTCCAGCCGTCCTCCGTCTGGCGCAGGCCTCTCCTGGGGAGTGAGCTCCCGTCCCTTACCCAGAGATCCCTTCCTGCCCTCAGCCCCACGGGAGGGGAGCAGTTGATGATGGCCTCCTAGCATCCAGTCCTTCAGCAGCAGGGGTTGGCTGGGCCACAAATTCCATCTGAGGTCCTTTCTAGCTTGCAGACACCATCAGGTACTGCTAGAGCCAACTTAGGTTACCTGCCTGGTGTGTGCAATATTTGCACCCTCTTCCACCATTCTGTCCAGTTCGTGCGTGACTTCCCCCGCCCACGCCTGCCCAGTCCCACCCCCAGCACTGCTCCATGTGACACCACATGCATGCTCTCTCTCCCTCCAGTGCCGAAGACTCAGATGAAGTTCAGCGTCCAGACCATGTGCCCCATCGAGGGAGAAGGCAACATCGCCCGCTTCCTCTCGTCCCTATTGGGCCAGAAGCACAGTGCTGTCAACTCAACCCTCATAGACAGCTGGGTGGACATCGCCACTTTCCAGCTCAGCGAGGGCAGCCCCAAGGAGAGGGCGGCTGTCTTCCGGGCCATGAACTCCGCGCTGGCGAGGAGCCCGTGGCTCGTGGGCAGTGAGCTCAGCGTGGCCGACGTGGTGCTGTGGGCGGCGCTGCGGCAGAGTGGCAGCTGCAGCGCAGCGCCGGCCAGCGTGCAGAGATGGCTGAGCTCCTGTGACAACCTGGCCCCCTTCAGCGCTGCCCTCAAGCTCCTTCAGGGAGCGAGGGCTTAGATGCTAACCCGGTGCGCTTTCACGCCCATTAATAAAGGGACTTGAATTCGAACACTCCATCAGGTGTCAAGCATCAGTGAAAGCATCCAGTGACTTGTGGGGTTTATTCGTGTCAAATTCATCAAAATAACATGCAGTGCAGTCCATGGGGCAGACACTTCCTGGGGCAACACGAGGTCCCGGGCCATGCAGAGCCTGTCGGGAGCAGGCTTTGCAGTGAAGCTAGGTGGAAGGTGGTGAGGACGGGGCAGGGTTGTTCAGATACAGCAGGGCCCACAGCGGTTTCTGCACCGAGGAGTGGCCTGTGGCAGTGTCTGACAGCGAACTCGGGCAGCAACGTAGAAGGAGCTGGAGGAGCAGCAGCCGTCTCACCGCAGAGCCAGCCTAAGCCTGGCCCTGGGCGGTGGGGAGGGGCAGAGGGCACACTTGCTGAAGGAGAGAGGTGGCCAGGAGGCAGGGTTTGAAGGAGAAAGAACTTAAGACCATCTAAGTTTCAGTGGTAGAGAATCACCAGAATAGGAAAGTGAAAAGGAAAATAGGTTTCCTTTGGGGCAGTCCCAAGCTGAAGAGGTGTGTCGGGGCAGGCTGAGGAGTGGCCCGTGGGAACCTTGCCCCCTGTGCCCTCGGGGAGGCCGACACTGCGTGCCAGCTGACTGTGGGTAAAGTGTAAGTCCACCCGACATTTCCCGTGTAGCCTGGTCACGGCTAGGCAGGGACGTCGCGGTCTGTCCTGTCACTCCTGGCCGCTCGGTCCCGAGAGAGCAGACTCAGCTGCTTCTTCAGTTCCTCAATCTCTCTCTCTTGCTCCATTATCTTCATCTGCAGAGTGAGGTTGACCTGTGAAGGGAAGATGTGAAGCTTTATGGGAATGTCCAGGCTTCGCTGCACATCCGGATAAGTACCACATCACTCCGAGTAGGAGTCCAGTATGGCCACCGCATGTGCTAACTGCAGCTGGGTTAAACTCTTCAGTCCCCTAACTAAATAATACATGAGGGACCACCGTCATCTGGCCACCGTGCACGGTGGAAGGAAACTTAGATGAGCCCTGAGAAACAAAGGGTCAGACGCTGGCCACCTGGCCAGACATGGGGAGGAATGTCTGCCAGGTGCCGGGTTGCGCCGTCAGTGTTTCTGGCATCCTCCATCAACCTCAGCCAGGTGGTTTTCTCATTTCCACACACGTTCTCCACCAACAAGTTTGTGAGAAGCAGACAGACAGAGCCCAGTCTCATCCACGGGTTCATTCCCCAGAAGCTCCCAACAGCTGGCAGCGAGATCAAATCCAGCAGCCTAAAACTCAACCAAGACCTCCCAACTAGGTGAGCCTGCTACCTTCCAGGGCCTAAGCAGGGGGCTGGAGCCAGTCCTCAAAATCAATGAACCAACAGGGTTTTTTCCCCTAATCTTACCAGTTAGAGACAGATCTTTTATCTGCTGGTTCACTCCCCAAATGGCTGCAACAGCCAGAGCTGTGCCAGTCAAAGCTGGGAGCCAGGAGCCTATTTTTTTTTTTAAAAAAAGATTTATCGGAAAGTCAGATATACAGAAAGGAAGAGAGAGAGGGGAAGCTCTTCAGTCCACTGATTCACTCCCCAAGTGACTGCAACGGCTGGTGCTGCACCGATCCACAGCCAGGAGCCAGGATCTTCTTCCGGGTCGCCCATGTGGGTGCAGGTTTCCAAGGCTTTGGTCCATCCACCTCCACCGCTTTCCCAGCATATTAGCAGAGAGCAGGATGGGGAGTTGTGCAGCATTCCAACGCAGGTTAAACTAACATCTCATATTGGTGCAACAGTTTGAATCTCTGCTATTGCACTTCCAATTCAGCTCCCTAATGCACCCAGGAAAACACTGGAGCATGGCCCAAGCACTTGGGACCCTGGTACTGTACCGCAGGAGACCCAGATGGAGGTCCATGGTGCAGGCTTCGACACAGCCCGACCTAGCTGCTGTAGCCATTTGGGGAGAGAAACAATGGGTGGGAGGCCTCTTTTTCACCATGTCCGTCCCTACCTATCTCTGTCACTCTGTTAACCCCTAAGCTAAAAGCCCGCCTCTTCTGGCAAATTCTACAGGTTAGAGAATAAGCTTAACCTTGCCAGTTTCCTGGTATCCCTTGGCATGTGTGAGCTCACAGGGGCTCTCTAACTTCCATAAACAATTATCTGTCTGACTTCAAGGACCACATCTGCTCTCTTCAGACTGTTCGAGAAAGAAGCGCACTGCACCAGTGCTGGCAGCCCACACGGGTACCAGTTAATGTCTTGGCTGATCCACTTTCCAATCCAGCTCCCTGCTTATGACCTGGGAAAGCAGCAGAAGATGGCCCAAGTCCTTGGGACCCTGCCACTTTGGGAGAGATCTGGAAGGGGCTCATGGCTCTTGGCTTCAGATCAGCTCTGCTCTGGCCACTGCAGGAACTTTAGCAGTGAACCAGCCAATGGAAGATCTCTCCTTTCTTTGTAAATCTGTCTTTCCAATAAAAATAAATCAATCTTAAAAATTAAAAAATAAATAAATGCACAGCACCATTTTACCGTTTAGGCTAATAAAACTCACTGTTGGTGGAAAATAAATCAACTCTCCCAAGTCTTTTCAGCAGTTACTAAGCATGGATCCCAAACTAGAATCAGGACTTTGTCTAATAGGATGAGGGCTGGAGAAGGCTGAAGAACCCATCAAGTTCCCAGGCACCCTCAGGTGGCTGTGCTGGCATCGGCACGTGGGGGACCACAGCAGCAACATTGCTCCAGTGCTGTGAGTCCCCGCAGGAGCCTGTGGGTGGGGGCAGAGCTCCTGGGGACGCGGGCTGCTGGCCTGCGGGGCACCTCTGCAGGAGCACAGCACAAGGGCACCTGTGCCCTGTGACCACGGCTGTGGCTGTCATCGAGCTCATTGAAGCTAAGCAGCTCCTGGAAGCGGGCCATCTGGAGACTATGGGCTCTACCTGGCACTGTAACACTGGGCTACCCTGGAGCAACACCACATGACACAATCAAAACCTGGAGCACACAGTGTTACCTAAGGCCCTGTGCTCCCAACCCCCGAGAACTGCTGTAAGTTAGCAACCCTTTGCAACGCATCCCTTCCCACTGGCTTCACACAACGAGGCAGGAATACAATCTTGACAGTGGAAGACTGGCAGCCAGGGGGTTGCCCCGCCTGGCTGGACCATGCTCCAAACACACTGCTGGTGAGCAATGCAGGGAGTTCAGCTGCCTCCACACCTTCAACTCCAAAACTCCACTGCCCTTCAGGGTCTACAGTTTAAAGCTTCCAGCTCTCGCCAGCATTCACAGCATGTACGTACATTCCCGGAGTTCTGGAACAGCTCGCTCTGCAGCAGCTGCAGGGCCGACGGCCTCTGGGACGCATCCCTTCTGGTCAGGTGTTGGATGTACTTGGCTTGTACTGGACACTTTTTGCTGAGAGAATCGGGCAGCTGACCAGCTCTCACAGCGGCCAAGACCTCGACTCGCTCCATCTCAGTCCCAAACGGCTGGAAGAGCTCAAGCAGGATCACACCCAGGCTGTACATGTCCGACTGCGAGAGAGGAGACACGGGTCAGCAGGGACGCCGCCGTCCAGCGCGCCACCCTCACACGCGGCACAGGGCTGCCCGGCCCTAGGAGCATGGCCAGGCGGTACCTGTCCGACTGCGACAAAGAAGGCCTGCTTTGATCTCACCCCTGCCTCCACGACTAAGGGAACAACCCACATAAAACCTGTGCCACCTGAAGGAAGGTTCTTACTAGACAGGAATGAGGGGCCACCATCATTAATCACTAAAAAGATCAATAACTCATCAAGAAGAAAACTGACTGGGTTGTTACTGTGAGAAAAGGATCTGTTTTAACATTTCCTGGAGGAAGAGGGGATGAAAACGCTGCAGTGCCCCATCCTATTTCAAGAGCAGTGAGTGGCAGGTGCCCTGGGGCGTCCATCACCCACGCATCCAGAGGACAGACACCTGCTGACAGACTAGGAGCTCAGCCTCCTTAGGGATACAGTGCCGTGGGAAAAGAGCATTTGTGTCATCCATGGATTTGGAAAGACGCCGCTAAGGTGGCCCCCCAGGACAGTGCAGTGAGGTCTGGCTGCAAAGCAAGGCTTCTGGCTAGAGCGCTCGCCCACCAGACGGAGGTCCTCGGTGCTTCATTACCTCCAAAATCACCTCCCTGCCGGGACCGGGGCCACTGCTGGCACTGTACCAGCTGGAACTCCTGCCTGTGGAGGCGGGTGGACAAAAGGAGAAAAAGCAACAAACACTACCTTGGCATCATACTCGGAACCTTCCAGCTGCTCGGGCGAGGCGTACAGACACGTGCCCACTCTGGAGGTGTGTGTCGGCACACCTAGGGTTAGAAAGCCACACGTCAGACACGGCAGGGCTGGCTGTGTGCACGCGCACGGACGACACTCACCAGGAGCGAGCTGGGATCCAGCGACAAGGGCTGCTGCTGGCTTTTATCTTACCTTGTTAGTAAACACTGAGGGTTCTCTTTAAGACAGTCACACACTTACTCTCCTCGTTGCTGTTGGTCCAGGCTGTCTTCTTCTGGATGATGTCTGCACAGGCAAGACCAAAGTCTCCTATTTTCACTTGCTGAGCGGGGCCGTGAAGGAAAATATTTCTAGGCTATGAACAAACAGAACAAATCAAGTACTTCATCTCCTTAAATAGTAGAAACTTGTGCCTATTAAGAGTTTTCAACGCAGAAGCAAGCAGGTGCCTCTAAAACCTTCAAACTATTGAGCAGGGTAAGGCGTTGAGTCTGGTGGTCAGCACGCAGCTAGCCGCCTGCTTCGCCTACCACAGTGCCTGGGTTTGAGTCTCGGCTCCAGCACAGTTCCACCTTCCTATCAGCAGCGACCATGGGGGTCAGCATGTAATGGCCCAGGTACCATGGGAAGTGAGATTACGTTCACAGCTCTCAGACTGGAGCAGCTCCAGACCACTGTGGGTATCCAGGGAGCGAACCAGCAGATGGAAGCGCATTCTCTATGCCTCAAATTTTAAATTCTGAGTAAGTTCTAAATTTAGATGCATATTTGAGTCCTAAACAGCCACTCCCCAAGGTCCAGCAAAATGGCTCAGTGACTGAATCCTCACCTTGCACATGCCACAACCCCACATGGGCACCGGTTCAGGTCCCAGCTTCTCTACTTCCCATCCAGCTCTCTGCTTATGGACCAGAAAGGCAGTGGAAGATGACCCAAGGCCCTGGGTCTCTGCACCAACAGGGAAGACCTGAACAAATTCCCAGCTTCAGATCAGCTCAGCTCTGGCCACTGTAGCCATTTGGCAGTTGGGGGATTTGAACCAGTGGATAGAAGATCTCGATGTCTCTCCTCTATCTGCTGCCTTTCCAATAAATACAAATCTTTTTTTTTTTTAAGATTTATTTTTATTATTTTTTTATTGGAAAGGCGGATATACAGAGAGGAGAGACAGAGAGGAAGATCTTCTGTCTGATGATTCACTCCCCAAGTGAGCGCAACGAGCCGATACTATGCCGATCCGAAGCCAGGAGCCTCTTCCGGGTCTCCCACGCGGGTGCAGAGTCCCAAAGCTTTGGGCCATCCTTGACTGCTTTCCCAGGCCACAGGCAGGGAGCTGGAAGGGAAGCGGGGCTGCTGGGATTAGAACCAGCGCCCATATGGGATCCCGGGCGTGCAAGGCGAGGACCTTAACCACTTGCGCCACCGCGCCGGGCCCCAAATACAAATCTTAAAAATGAAATAAAATACAATGATGTGGTTGCTTCAAGGCCGAGAGCCACAAGGGGAGAGCACGCTGTATCCCCAAGGGCTTCCCCGCCCTGCCAGCACACCATCACCCACAACTCTATCATGCTGTGAGCTTTGTCCTGGAAACTCTGGCATCACTAACGCCCGGTACCCCGACAGCCCTCCTTTTCGAGCCAGCACTGCAACTACTGCGAGGGCTCGCACTTAACTCAGACTCAAGCCATGGCCAGCTGAGCACTTAGGTAAGTGACAAGCTGCGCCTACATGGGGAGGGAAGACCCCACTGAAAGCCCAGATACAGGAAACATTCTTACTTTAAATATAATCATCTTCTATTTTTATCGTACTCACAGCATAAATTCTCAATTTTGTGAGTTGTCTGACATACAGGTGAAATGGAACGGGAAAGAAAATACATAATTTTAAGTGTAAGATGCCAATCTGAATATTTTTTTATGGCTGTGTAAAAACCACGAAAAACTATGCTAACATCTGACACCATATGATCAGTAAGAAAAGTTGGAAAAAGACTGGCTCTAAGATATAAATGAACAGTGTTTGCGGATACAAGTTTCAGACGTTCTAGAAGGTTCTAGAACAGAACTGGAGAAGCCATCACAAGGACAGAAGGTGGCCATTCCGCAGCAGCACGGCCACCTGAACGCACTCTGTCTGCAGCTCACTCATGGGCAACCTGATCGGGAGGGGAAGCCGAGCGCGGGGTGCTGCCAGGGGCCCAGCCCTGAAGACCCGGCCCACCATCCCCACGCTGCACCACAAGCTCTACAAGGCCATCCTCAAGGAAGACCGCGCTGCCATCAGGGCGCTCCTGCGAAGCCACCCTGTGAACCAGCCCATCACCGTGCTGGCCACCTCGTGCATCTACAAACTCATGCTGTCTCAGGTAGCAGACACAGGGAAGCACACCGAGCACCGCCCCCGGGTGCTCGCCAGACCCGCACTGCCCCCAGGCCGCAGGCCAGGCGCCTCCCAGGCCCTCCACACACCCAGAGCAGCGCTCTCAAGCCTGCAACCCCCTGCCCCCACACACTGCTAGCTGAAACGTGTCACCCTCTCACACATACCCTTGGAGATTACATCTGTGCTGGGATAATTTTTTGTTTAACATGTGCATTTCTGTTTTCTAAGTTTATATGCAATGAGTGTTATCTTAATGATGAAAACAATTTCCCAACAGGTGGTCACCTTCCTTTCGCTCCCCTCTCTTACCCTGCGTTGTAGACAACTATTGGTTACATAGGTATTTTCTCAACTGGCATAAAACAGCTCTGATCGTGCTGCTGCTCTTTCTTTCTTTTTTTTTTTCTTAAGATTTATTCATACTTACTGCAAAGGCAGATTTATAGAGATGGAAAAGCAGAAAGATCTTCCATCCATTGGTTCACTCTCCAAATGGTCCCAAGGCCAGAGTGGGGCCAACCCAAATCCGGGAGCCAGGAGCTCCTCCAGGCCTCCCCCACGGGTGCAGGGTCCCAAGGCTTTGGGCTGTCCTCTGCTGCTTTCCCAGGCCACAGGCAGGGAGCTGGATGGGAGTGGAGGAGCCAGGACACGCACCAGTTCCCACAGGGGATGCACACACTTACCGAGGATTAGTAGCCAGTCCCATGCTGCATTATCTTTAAAAGGCTGAACATGCAAACCTCGTTGCTGATAGTATGCACACAACTTTGGCAAAGCCAGAAAACAGCACCTACTTGTCACTGTCCTTGTGAGTTCACCTGGACTAAGGGCTACCACAGTAATTACCATCAGTGCCAGTTCTGAGCTTTGTCACTCCCACCTTGTGTTTCTCTGAAATGCAGACCTAAGCCAGGTCTGATGGCTCAGTGGTTGAATCCTTGCCTTGCACATGCCAGGATCCCAAATGGGCATCAGTTGCGTCCTGGCTGCTACACTTCCCATCCAGCTTCCTGCCTGTGGCCTGGGAAAACGGTGGAGGACGGCCCAAAGCCTTGGAAAACGGCACCCGCATGGGAGACCCAGAAGAAGCTCCTGGCTTCAGATTAGCTAAGCTTTGGCTGTGTGGCCACTTGAGGAATAAACCAGCAGATGGAAGATCTGTCTCTCTGTCTTTCCAATAAAAGTAAATTAATCTAAAAAATAAATAAATAAAAAGTTTCCAGTGCACTTCCCTCTATCAAGGTCAAGATAAACCAAAGATGACTTTTGCCCCCAAGGGCTCTCATGCACCTGCTTTCTCCCGAGCAGACGGAGCTCACGGTCCCCATTCACCTGGCTGCTGGCCACCACAAGGCTCAGAGCTTGCTGTGCCTGCTGGAACACGGTGCCGACCCGGATATCCGGTAAGCTGATGTTGCAGTACAGACTTCCAGTGCAGATGCTCCGCCCCCCCAGTGCAAGGACCTGCTCACTCTTTATGGACTACAGACTGAGCTATTTTTAAACACTCCGACTTCCTTGCCAGCTAGATGAGTCAGACGGTCCTGAGGAATGGGAAGCAGTGCCAGAACATGGAGCAGCTGGCCCCATCACTGTACACTAGGTTCTGACTGCTGACGGTCAGGGGGCGAACGCACTGGGCCTGGCCATGGCCCTCCAGGGGCCGCAGTGCTGGCCAGAGAAACCAAGCCCAAAGAGGCTGCCCCCCAACCTGGGGCGATAGAACCGCCACACACCCTCCTCCCCACCCCAAGCCCTGTGATGTCTAAGACATAAAGCAGCCACACGGATGTTGAAACATTTCTTTACCTAGACAGTGTTACTTTTAGTCCTTCTCAGTGAATCCAGTGTGACTTGTCCTCACTGCCCACTCCAGGGACGACAAAGGCCGGACCACACTGCACTTGATTCTGCTGCAGTGGCCAATCACTTCCAGCACGTGGACCACATCAGATGCCACAATGCAAAAAACCCACATGGACATTCAGAAAAACGCTGTGCTGTGCCTACGCATCCTGTGCGAACACGGGGCTCAGGTTAACGCTCAGGTGGATGAAGACAGCAAGTGCCCGGCGACACAAGGGTCCAGTCTCTCCATCCTGACCCACAGCGACAGCCCTGCCAAGGCTGCTGGGGAGGCCTACATGACGCCCCTTCACATCGCGGCCAAAGCCCTGAACACGGCCATGGTAGAGATGCTCATCGCCTGTGGCGCCAACGTCAACCGTGCCGTCTCCTCCACGGGGTACACAGCCCTGAAGCTGGCCGTGTGCACGGCGTCCAGCAAGGCGGGCCAGCTGCTGGACGCGGGGGTGAACTGCATCCGCCTGCTGCTGACCCACGGAGCCCAGGTCAACGCCCAGGACCACCAGGGGCAGACGTCGCTCCACGAGGCGTGCTACGGAGGCCGACAGGCCGTCATTGAGCTCCTCCTTGAATTTGAAGCTGACGTCAACATCCTGACCAACAAGGGCGAGTCCCCAGTCTACATGTTCTTGCAACGCCCCTCCAACATGGGGGCGGCCGCCGTTCTGTCCAGACTGCTGGGGCGCACCTACCCTCTGAGGCTGACCAACCACCAAGGCGTCCTCCCCGCGGTCATCAGGCTGCCCCAGTTCCACCGCCTCAGACACACTCTGACCAAGCTATCGCAAAAGCCTTGGCCCCTCCAGGACATCTGTAAAAGGAACATCAGGAACACGTACGGCGAGCAGCACAAGCAGCGGCTCCGGCAGCTGCTGCCTGACAAGATCTGGAACTCGGTCTATGGCTGCCAGGACGTGGCACGCCTCCTCAGGTAAGCGAGCAAGGCTCCCTGCCAGGAACCTGCCGCACAGCCGCACTCGGTGGCCACGAACTCGGAAATACTGAGCTGATCGTTTTCATACCCCAAAGGTACAAACCCATGCTTCTTAATTAATAAAGTGATTTACATGCTAACTTTTTCAAAAATACTCTATACATTTGTTTGTTTTCTTTGAAAGAGGAGAGAGAAAAAGCTTCTATACACTGGTCCGCTGCTCAAAGCCTGCAACAGCTAGGGCTGGACCAGGATGAGCCCAGGAGCCTTTGAACTCAGCCGAGTTCTCCATGTGGGTAGCAGGCACCCACCCTGAGCTGCCGCCTACCAGCTTACACACTAGCAGGACACTGGACCTGGAAGCGGAGCTGGGATTTCTTGAACCCAAGCAGCACCCTCACATTGGATACAGACACACCAAGTAGCACCCTAACAGTTGCACTTCACAACTAACCACCAATACTAACTTTTAAAAGATTTATTTACTTCAAAAACAGGTTACAAAGACAGTGGAAGAATCTTAGCTCTTCCATAACCAGGCTGGGCCAGGCCAAAGCCAGCGGCCAGGAGCTCCATCTAGGTGTCCTTCCCAGACACAGCAGCAGGGGCCTGGATCAGGAGCGGAGCAGCCCGGACTCAACCCGGGGCTCATACAGGATGCTGACATCACAGGCAGTGGTGTAACCCACAGCAACATAAAGCTAGTCCTTCTAAATTCCCTTTAAATGTCCTTTCTGTGATTTAATTTTAACTGAAAGGTAAGCAAATTTAACTCAACACTCCTGCCTGGGCCAGGTGATGGTGCGGCGTGGGTTAAGCCACACTCGGGCTGTCTGCAAGCAGCGCGGGACTCAGGCCCACTTCTGCTCTGGATCCAGCTTCGCGCACGTGTGCCTGGGAGACGGCAGAGGACGGCCAGAGCACTGGGTCCCTAAGACCGTGTGAGTGTCTTGGTGAGCATTAAGTGCATCGCCTGTCATGAACTATACCAGGACTCAGAGCACTGTGACAAGCTGGAAAAATAGTACAGAGAATTCTCAGACACCCAGAACAACTGCTTCTGTATACCACCCCAGGCTTCACACTCTACCATGCCGTGAGACGGCCATTAAGAGCACAGAGACGGGAGCGCACCACGCCTCGCAGTCTGCTGTAGCTCAGCAAGCCCACGCCTCGCCTCGCCACACCAACACAAAGCCATCAGTGTCAGGGCTCGGCCAGCCCCACTTACCTTCAGGTCTCTGTGCACGATGCCCATATTATGTATGTAAAACACACCTTCCACCAATTCTTGGAAAATTTTTGTTGCAACACTGAGCATAACATAAGGACCTTGAAGTAAAAAGGAAAAATAAAACATTTTATTTCTCTCATTTTCTTACACTTCGAAAGGGCTAAGATGGCTGTAAACACGCTTACACGTGCGCCTTCAGCCACTTGCAGATGCTGAACTAAGTCGGCTCTCTCCGAAGGCCCTCAAGTCTAGACACAGGCAGAGGAGACGAGCTCTGCTCGGACCAGCCGAGAGAGCATCACCACCTGGCACCGCGAGGCACCCCCTGGCACCGCCTGGCACCGTGAGGCGTGCGTGGGCAGTCACGCAGAGCCAGAGTTAATGACCACTGCTAGCCAACCCACGAGCCGCGGCAGACAAAGACCGATGCCTTTCAGTGCTGGATACACTGAAGCGTATGGGAAATGAAGCGTTTCAAACAAACCTTCCAGACGATGGATTTCCTGTCTTGCGCCAGCATGATTTAACTCTTCTCTTATTTCCTTATTTATAATTTATTTAATCTAGTGTGGCTAGGACACCCGCTCTATTAACATTACACTTTAGTGTATGTGTGTGTGTGAAAGAAAGGTTTTTAAAAAGTAAAATGAACATGAAATGCATTAATATGGTGATGTTATAAAAATGAGTTTAGAAAGTAGAGGTTTTATAAAATTCAAACAAAATTGATAGAGAAATTGTTATTTTCCTGTTATGTAAGCTTAATGAAATCAATACTTTTATTTATTTGTTTTTTAAAGATTTATTTAGTTTTACTAGAAAGGCAGGTGAACAGAGGAATCTTTCATCCACTGGTTCACTCCCCAGAGAACCAGGCCAGAGATGGACTAGTTCAAAGCCAGGAGCCAGAAACGTCCTCCAGGCCTCCCACACGGGGACACGAGGACACGGGGACACGGGCCCTTGAACCACCCTCCACTGCCTCCCACACGGGGACACGGGAACACGGGGACACGGGCCCTTGAACCACCCTCCACTGCCTCCCACACGGGGACACGGGCACTTGGACCACCCTCCACTGCCTCCCACACGGGGACACGGGCACTTGGACCACCCTCCACTGCCTCCCACACGGGGACACGGGCACTTGGACCACCCTCCACTGCCTCCCACATGGGGACACGGGCACTTGAACCACCCTCCACTGCCTCCCACACGGGGACACGGGCACTTGGACCACCCTCCACTGCCTCCCACACGGGGACACGGGCACTTGAACCACCCTCCACTGCCCTCCCACGCTTGTTAGCAAGTAGCTGGGTTGGAAAGAAAGTGGCCAGGACTTGCACCAGCGCTCTGCTAAGGGATGCTGGCATCACAAGTGGTGGCTTATCCGGCTGTGCCACAATGCCACAACGCCAGGCCTCCTATTTCTGATGTTTCTACCCTCCCGTCGAAAGCTCATCTCAGAGTCTGAATATATTAACTGACTTACAACTTGGAACAAATAAAGGTCTCAATGAGTGATCAGTGAGTTTTTACTTAAAATCAGGTTACAGACATCTATTATTTTGATAAGCTAAGACAGCAGTTCTCAGGGCAGACAGCTGCACACTGGTAGACGCCGCTAGGGGTGCCCACATCCCACACTGGCACGCCTGAGCCTGAATACCAACTCTGCTTCCCACAGCAGCTTCCTAGGACAGGCCCCCGGGGAGGCAGGCGGATGGCTCAGGGCTTCGGCTCCTCCCTCCCGTGCGGCAGTGACCCTGGCTCCGGCCTTCAACTTGGCTCAGGCCTGGCCGTAACAGGCCTCAAGGGAGTGAACCAGCAGAGAGATCTGTCTCTGAGGAAAACGCATAAATAAAACTTTAAAATAATGAGACTTCAACTGTGGCCAAGCATGAGAATCAGAAAGACGTTGTTGTTGTTAAGATTTTTTTTTTAAATTAGAATGTCAGACATACAGACAGGATGAGAGACAGGAAAATCTTCTGTCCGATGACTCACTCCCTAAGTAACTGCAACGACCAGAGCTGAACCAATCCAAAGCCAGGAGCCTAGAGCTTCCTCTGGGTCTCCCACGCAGGTGCAGGGTCCCAAAGCCTTGGGCCGTCCTCGACTGCTTTTCCAGGCCACAAGCAGGGAGCTGGATGGGAAGTGGGGCCGCTGAGATTAGAACCAGCGCCCATATGGGGTCCTGGTGCGTTCAAGGTGAGGACCTCAGCCGCTAGGCTACCACACTGGGCCCAGAGATTATTTTTAATACCAGAGGCCAAGATCTATCTCAGGGCAATTTTATGAACCTAAATACAAAACATGAAGTCTGACCAACCAGTAAGCTGTTTGGGACATGTAAGTCCCACATCAGAATTTCCGGGTTCAGCTCCCAGTCCACTCTCAATTCTGGCTTCATGCTAATTTAGATTGTGGGGGACAGCACTGATGTCCCAAACGTTTGGGCGCCTGTCATCCATGTGAGAGCCACGGAGTGAGCCCCTCCCTCCCCCGCCTCTCCCCTCCCCCCCTTCCCCCCTCTGTCCCTGCATCCAGAACACCGGCACTCACAGGCAGACTCGTCCACACACTCGCGGCTGCGCCGGTTCCTCTCGGCGATCCAGTCCCACAGGGAGAGCTCGCACAGCTGCATCTGGATGTGCAGCATCAGGTGATACTGCACCTAGGAGGGGAGGACCACGCTCAGCGCTGCAGTGCCATCGCCCCCGGCCCAGCGCCTGTGAAAGCCGCCTGTGCAGACTCAAGGAGGCGGGCAGGCAGGGCCCGGCTGGCAGCTGCCCTCCCAAGCAACACTGGGGACCTGACTCTGACACTGTCTGGTCTGTGCTCCGCAGAAGTGAGTTTAAAAATGAAGATGAACCATCAAGGAAGTCATCTTACATACAATCCAAACCCTACATACTTTGGCTGGCTTCATACTGCACATTACTAATAGGGAAAAGGCAAGCAAATATTAAGTAGGCAGCTCGCTCACTTGGGCGCACATGAACATTCGCCAAATACAATACAGAGAAATTAAATCAATCTAAATTGATTAAGAGACTAAAATATAGTCTTTGACGAGAAGTCCAATTTTTAAATACTAACAGAGCCTGTTAATGCCCAAGCTTTTTGTTTATAACCCTCAGGACCACTAACCAACAGGATCCCCAAAACTGGCCCTACAATCCTACTGGGTCTCACCTAAATTCATCCCCTGAGCTATAAAACACCTTTTCTGCATAAAAATATGTTTAGAACACGAGCAAGGTGGAAGTGGCACCGTGAGGGTGGTGAGAGGAGGATCAGAAGAAGCCGCTTCAGGCCACACGGGGAGGAGGGTGCGACAGGTGCGACAGGCAGGCGGAGGAGCCAACGCAGAGGGATGACACGTGCAGGCCGTACCCCACCACCGCACGTTGGGCAAGGGAGCTTCCGGCGGAGTCACCTACCCCCATGTGCCCCAACAGGTTTTCCTCAGACGATTCCTCCGTGGATGTGAAATTCTCTTCCAGCTCTGAATCGTGCCCAAGCTCAACGGGGCCGCTTTCGTGGCCCTCGGAGGACGATTCAGACCCACTGGTCTCCCTGATGGCGAGGTCGGCGCTGTAGCTCACCAGCTTGTTATTCTGACTCTGGGTGGTAGGTTCCCCAACAGACTTTTCTTTTCCTGGGGTGAGCTCAGCGAAGACAATCGATGAGCCGCCACTTTCGTCATTTTTAATGCCATATTTGGCTCTGGGGAGAGTAAGGAAAGACAAAAATCAACACTAAGAAAAAACAAATCCAGAGCAATTCGGCTGTCCTCAGGCCTACGGCATTCCACCTGTCCACACCGGCACTCCATCTGTCCACACGGCATTCCATCTGTCCACACCAACATTCCACCTGTCCACGCGGCATTCCACCTGTCCACACTGGCATTCCATCTGTCCACACGGCATTCCATCTGTCCACACCGGCATTCCATCGGTCCACACTGGCATTCCATCTGTCCACACCAGCATTCCACCTGTCCACACGGCATTCCATCTGCCCACGCAGCGGCATTTATCTGTGATACTGACAGGAGAGCTCTGACAGCAGGAAACTAACCTAACATCCCGTAATGAAAATAGCCCAGAGTGTGGCAGACTTCTGGCCAAGCGCGAGACACCGAGTCTTGCCTTGGAGTGCTGGGTCGCACCTCCAGCCGGACCCTGCCCCCTGCTTCCTGCTCATGCAGACCCCAGGGAGGCAGTGGCCACACCCAGGTCATCGGCCCACCTACATAGTGAGTGTCAGGCCCAGGAGCCCCAGGGGTGGAGGTTCCAGTGAGACCTGGGTTTCCTGGTCCAGGTCCTTGGGCCCTTCTGTGCAGTGGATGCTAGATCTGTGAGCCCCAGAGGTGAGGAGGCCCAGAGAGGCCTGGGTCTCCTGGTCCACCCAAGCCCACCTGTGTGGTAGGGGCCAGGTCCATGAGCCCCATGGGTTGGGGGCGTGTCTCACATGACCCAGGTCACCTGACTCAGCCCACCTAGAACTGGTCCTCCCCAATGCTGAAGATGGAGTGCTGGATGGCAGACCATGGTGCACATGGAGGACATGACAGCTCATTGGGACCTGCAGATGGGCGACACTGACAGCATTTCCAAACTACTGCATCCGCTGGGCAGAACCTTCAGAACATGCGCCATTGTGACCCTGGGTTGACATCAGGTGGCCTTGCCCCATCCTCGGGTACTGGGATGGTTGGCAGGCTGGGAATGGCCTATCCCTTTACCTTCCCCTCCCCGCCCCCGAAACAAGAAGAAGAAATAGAAAGCTTGGAAACAATGATCAGACCCACCTCTCCCTAACCCTAGATCCTCCCCACCCCAATCAGCCATGTAAACATCATCTAAAATAAAAATTTAGAAAAAAAAAGGAAAAAAGGTGGGGAGAAGAAGTAGGAAAAGACAGCTTTTTGTAAAAGTAGGAAATCTGAAGGCATAAAATTGCAATTTTGGCAAATTAGTGTAAATATTGTTGTATTATTAAAACAAGCAGTGTCATAACAACTTAAAGCCATTGCCTTTGGAAACAACATCCAATATGAGCACTGGTTCAAGTCCTGGCTATTCCCCTTTTGATCCAGCGCCCTGCTTAGAAAATAGTGGAGAATGACCCAAATGCTTGGGCCTCTATATTCACAAGGAGGACCTTGAAGAAGCTCCAGGTTTCAGATCAGCCCAGTCCTGGCCACTGCAGCCATTTGGGAAGTGAACCAGCAGATGGAAACTCCCTTTCTTTCTGAACTTTTCCTTTCAAATAAATAAATAAATCTTTAAAAACAGTTCAAGAAATTTAAGAAATATGTCACACAGGAAATGATTCAAATGAAAGCTGATATATCAGAAATTAAGAACACAGTGGAGCAAATTAAAAGTACAGTGCAGAGTCTCCAAAATAGAATGAAGGGGGCAGAAGAAAGAGTCTCAGAATTGGAAGATATCTCCTGTCACCAGGGGGAAGCAAACAAACAGAAAGCTGGAAGCAGAGCTGGATCAGGCCAAAAAAAGTATTCAAGAACTGAAAGACACTATTAAGAAGCCAAATATAAGAGTTATGGGAGTCCCAGAAGATGTAGAGAGAAAGCTGAGTTTAAAAATGTATTTAATGAAATAATAAGGGAAAATTTCTATAATCTAGAGAAAGAATTTGGAAAACAACATCCAGGAGGGGCACAGAACTCCCAACAGGCTTAACCAAATGTAATCTTCCCCACCACACATGATCATCAAGCTCTCTTCAACCAAACATAAGGAAAAGATCCTTAAATGTGCATGTGAAAAAAAATCAACTGATATATAAAGGAATGCCAATTAAACTCACAGGAGATCTCTCACAGGAAACTCTACAGGCAAGAAGAGAATGGAGCATCATATTCCAGATTCCAAAAGAAAAAAATTGTTGGCCCAAGACAACGTACCCAGCAAAGCTTTCTTTCATCTTTGAAAATGAAATAAAATTCTTCCAGAGTAAAGAAAAGTTAAAATAATATGCCTCTTCCAAACCTGCTCTACAAATGATACTTCAAGATGTTCTCTTGACAGAGAAGAGGAATAGCACCTACCAAAACCAAAGGCAAACAGGAAGAACATCCCAGTAAAATGACAACAAAAGACTAAACCAATGAACAACCCACTGCTAAAAGAACAGGACCAAATTACTACCCATTCATATTAACCCTGAATGTAAATGGCTTAAACTCATCAATCAAGCATCATAAGATTAATAGACTAGATTAAAAAACAGAACCCATTTATTTGTTGCCTACAGAAGACATATCTCACCAACAAAGATCAGCGGAAACTGTATCTCATGGATTTTGATTTTTTTTTCAAGTTTTATCTCTTCAAAATATTTTCTCATTAACTTCTCCACTGACTTATAGATCATATACGAGCATAATTTTCAAGAAGGTTCTTGATTTTCATGTTTTCAATGACACATTAGTCATTCAGTAGCATGTTATTTAACTTCATGCTACTGATTCTAATTTCTTTTTTTCTTCCTGTTATTGATTTTGTATTGTGGCTTTTCATGTACAGGGATGTATAGTAACTGTGTAATGGAAACTACCATATCCAGACCGAGGATGCAATGCAGTACACATCTCTACCTCCAGACCAAAGATGGACTCTCAATGAAACCATTAACTGTATCCTGACAATAGGCTGCTGAACTGGCTGCCATTGTCCGTGCCCACGATGATGGACATTTGACTATTAATGAAGAACTATACTATAGCAATAATACAGGGGAACTCAGTGGGGGGAGGGGATAAGGGAAATCCCAGGGCCTGTAGAACTATATCATAAAATAACAATAATAATAATGAACAGAAGTAAAATTAAAAAAAAAAAATTTTAAAGCAAACAAATTTCAAGCAGGAAAGAAAACACTGCAAAGAAAAGTAGGAAACATTTCCCCCAGCTGCCAGCAGCAGATGACAAGGCAACACACTGCCGGTGACAGGCGGTGACAGGCGGTGACAGGCAGTGACAGGCGGTGACAGCCCAGTGACAGGTGGTGACAGGCCGGTGATAGCCCAGTGACAGGCGGTGACAGGCCGGTGACAGGCAGTGACAGGCCAGTGACAGGCCAGTGACAGGCAGGTGACAGGCAGTGACAGGCCAGTGACAGGCGGTGACAGGCCGGTACAGGCCAGTGACAGGTGGTGACAGGCCGGTGACATCCCAGTGACAGGCGGTGACAGGCAGTGACAGGCCAGTGACAGGCGGTGACAGGCCGGTACAGGCCAGTGACAGGTGGTGACAGGCCGGTGACATCCCAGTGACAGGCGGTGACAGGGCAGTGATAGCCGGGTGACAGGCCAGTGACAGGCAGGTGACAGGCCAGTACAGGCCAGTGACAGGCAGGTGACAGGTGGTGACAGCCCAGTGACAGGCGGTGACAGGGCAGTAATAGCCGGGTGACAGGCCAGTGACAGGCCAGTGACAGGCCGGTGACAGGCCAGTGACAGGCCGGTAACACACCGGTGACACGCTGTTACGGGCCAGTGACAGGCCGGTGACAGCCCAGTGACAGGCCGGTGACAGCCCAGTGACAGGTGGTGACAGGCGGTGACAGGCGGTGACAGGTGGTGACAGGCGGTGACAGGCGGTGACAGGCGGTGACAGGCGGTGACAGGCCCACGGCCCCTACGCACAGGTGATCCCCCCCACGTACCTGTTCTCTTCGGTGTCGGACAGCACCTCCAGAGAAGGCAGCTCGAGAGGGACTCTGCCTGCTAAGCAAGGGAAAAGCTAAGACACTCATAAGAACGCAGCACGGAACCACAAGTCAAATGTCATGATGGCCTGGCAAGACAAGCAATCGGCAACTGGCTAACACACTCTACAGCTCACAAGACAGAGCTGTTCAATTCTTCGGGGGCCAACCAGCTTTCTGCACAAGACCTGATGACAGATCTTTCTCATCACAGCCTTCCTTAAACCTTAAAAATCTTCAAACTGGCATTGTGGTGCAGTGGGTTAAGCCACCGCTGAGACACTGGCACTCCGTGTAAGTTCTAGGTGAGTTCCAGCAGAAGATGGTCCCAGTGCTTGGGCTCTGCCACCAACATGGGTGGACGGACATCTAGGCCCGTGGCTTTAGCCTGGTCCAGAGCAAGTCACTGCGGCCATCTGGGAAGTGAACCAGCGGCCACAAGGTCGATCAACTGATGATATCTGTATATAATAACTGCCTTTCAAATCTGCAAAAAATAAATGAAAAACAAGTAAAAAATGTAAAGCTATTCTCAGCTTTTGGTTTGCACAAAAACATAAGCACAGGCCAAATTTACCCAAAACGCCAGGAACCAGAAACACTGCAGATTTCAGACT